TCATAGGAGGAACATTATCGGAACTGCTCAGTCAGTGCAAGCACCAGATAATCATCAGTGTCAGATCTCAGAGATGAACAAGCAAATATACTTGAGTCCAGATGGCAGAGGTCATAAATCTAAGGCAAAAATGATCAAGTCACCGATAAGGCAAAAGATAACTCATGCTCAAAATGATACTGCTGAATTCAGTGACCACAACAGTAGACTAGCAGATGGAATTTTGTTGAACAAAGAGTTTCATAACAATTCAGGCGTTCGTTTGGGTTTTGCTGGAGGTGAGTATAACCAAAATTTGTATGCTGACCATGAGTTGCATCTCAATGCAGATCAATTCAGTGCTAGAGCCCATTGCACTCCAGAGAGTTACGGGAAGACAGCAGTTCTTGGAACCGGCTGGGATGATGTGTGTGCTGCCAGTTTGTCTTACACCCAGCGGTATTGTAACACAGAGAGACATGCTCAAAATACAAAGTCTACTCGCAGATATCCTGATCCAGGGTTTAATGCTGGAAGGAGTTATATCAATGATAAGCCTGAAGATAATCGTGCCAGTGATCATAAGGTATTGGAGTATATTGGAGATGAAAGTCAGTGCAGAGATGATTATTCCCAATGCAATTCTTTCGATAGAAATGGAAGCATTGATCCTAAAAGTATGAGAAATTCACAATTCTACAGTCCATCACAGATTGTCAGTTACAAGCAAAGTGAGACATACCATCAAGGAAATCATGATGGTTTCCATTATAACAATGAAAAGTACTATAAGCATGGCAGAAATCTTTCTTTGGATAGTATGCAACAAAATCCCCCTGTATCCAGTGCTCCAGATAATTTTGAGCCAAACTCATCAAGATTATTAGTGAATGTCAGGTCAGACCAGTGTGACAATAGCAGAGAAAGAAATGTACAATTATTACATTCTGAAGACCATGTGATGGCCGGTTCAAAGTTTGGTCACAGAAAACCTGGCGATATGACATATAATAAAACAGTGGTTGCTAGCTCACATGAAAATGCTGAGCAGAAAAGATCTGCAGTAAACCAGCCTTTAAATAATAATGAGAACTGTGTTTCTGAAGCTAGCTTTTCCATGAGTGAAATTTCCTCAGGACATCCGTTCCGAGCTCCAGTTGATAAATCTCTTGGTCAGCCTCACTCTGCCAGCCACTGTTTTACCAGGCCACAGTCTGTCAAGTCATCCCATGTAGCTCATAACCAGCAGACCTTTGAGGATGCAATGTTTGATCCCCTCTCAACAGAACTTCCTCCAATATTAAACTATTTACAGAAAATGATGACTTCTTTGTTCATGTCTTTGATTCCTGCCCAGCTTAAGGAATCATTTACTCAACGAGACACAACAGATACTTCTGCAAACTCTGGAATTAAAGTAAACAAAGACATGAACTGCTCTCCTATCCAACAGGCAACAGCTTCTTTACAAACTCATCAATTCCAAAGAAAGAAAAATGAAGCAGATGGAATGGGGGCAACCGGCTCATGTGTAGCTATCGGCAATGAACCTGATGACATTCTCAGTCTTTGTGAACATGAAAATACTGAAGCTTTAAAGCCTAACACAAATAACTTTCAACAGAAAATTCAAAATAAGCAAGTTCCTTCCGGTGCAATTAAATTCTCAAATGATAAATACTTTAACACATTGGAAGAACAAATTACCAATACAGGTAGAAAAGAGGAAAGTATGTCAATCATTAAAGAGTTTATTGGCACTAAATTGTCTTCACAAGAAAAGAGGACATTGGTTAGTCAAGGGAATTGGAAGGATATTCAGTCTGTAAACATTTATAATGTACCCATAGCTCAGGCAGCGATGTCTACTCCACTGTTACGAGATGGACGGGGAGTTTTTATCAAGCCCATACATCCAGCACCTCATTCAACAACAGCATCATTCAGGAAGTTACCAAACATTCGTGTGGCTCCTGCTCCTCCGAACACCTATTCAGTGAATAAAACTGCAACACCTTTAAACCAAGGTGACATTCCTCTAGGACTACCTTCACCAACTCTCTCCGAGTTTGACGCCAAATTGATGAAAGTGGCCAAAACAAGACAAGCAGAATACCAGTTAGGTAGGCTTAATTCAATAAGGAAATCTGGATCTGAAACAAGTGGTATTGGATCAATGAATTCTACTAAGAATGATGGTAAATTAATTCAGAAATTGACTCCTTGTAGAGAAAAAACTTCACCAGTTGTGAGCTCTTCAAAAGTGCCGAGGCAAAGCTTCTCTTGTGAAAATAGGATTGCAGCATGGTTTTCTACACCACAGGTCAAATTTGATGTTCCCCTATCAAGTGCAATTTCCATAAGAAATCCTACAGGAATAGCAACTTTAAGAAGTAAGCTGTTTGAAGCTAAGCCTGCAGGTAAACAACTTAATTTTAATAATTATCAAATTAATTTCTTCATAAAGTGTTTAAATTAAAGGTTTAAGTCTTTATGTCCTGGACATTCTTAACCCACGAACAGTGTATGTTATGTTTCTGTATTGAACGGGAAATTTAGAGGTTTTTTTGGGTGCCTTTGAAAAAGGTGATTTTTCACATGCAAATACTATAGCTAAACCCCATAAAGTATATATTTATTGAAAGTAGACTGAGTGGGGAATCATTCTGGCTATTTTTTTAATGATATTTTATACTCCCTGACCGTGACCTTGCCCTTATGAAATAATGAAAACTTTCCCTTTCAAACTACATAAAGGCATATTTTTATAATGTTTATATAATATGATAGCATTTTTAATTATCTTTCAGAAAATGTATTATTTGTATATGTTATAGTTATAAATAGATTTTAAAAAAGAAACTTCTTCTGATACCTATAATGGGAGTCGCTTAGTCACTTCCTTGTTTGGTCACGTGATGAGAGTAAGCCATCGCTATGCTGCTACACACAACAAAAGATACTTCATCAGTGCTTCCCCAACATCATGTTACTTGAAAACTTTACCTTTCAAAATATTCTGGAATACACGCGTTTTTTAAATGAAATACATAAATGTGACAATACATATAGGCCTACGTCAGTTATGATTAAAGGAAGAAAGTTATTTCAAGAAAAATTTGTGAGCGATATTCAATGGGAACTATCTATATTATCATTGGCAGGCTGTTGTTGAGCTCTGTGTGTGCCCATAACGTCATTTGTGTGTTTATTCAATATTGGTGCAAGAGTCATTCCCCTTTGTTTATTTTATTGTTAATTTTCAGTGGACGAAATGTCGGCATATCCATGATGTCATTTGCGTGTTTATTCAATATTGGTGTGGCGAAGGAATATTTTAATAGCTGGTTGGAACAAGATTTCATGGGAATAATTAACAGAGGTCCACTTTGTAAAGCCATTGTCTTAAATTTTCTTTATCCTTAAGCGGAAACTTATGCAGACTTATACCGCTGTCCTTAACTTGACTGTTTGAACAGCCAAAAGCCGAACATTGCCTAGGCATCTTGAATTACTAGTTGTAGTGTGTAACGAGCTACTGTTGTTAAGCACTAGGGTGTTGTATACAGCCTACAGGAAGTCTTACTCGTTTTTACTCTCATCACGTGACAAATCAATCGACTAAGCGACTCCCATTACGTTCAAGTAACAAAGCACGACATAAACAATATAAACATTAGTAAATAGCATGAAACAGATAAAATTTAAAAAGCTGATATATAATATTTAATCCATAAAATGAAATATAAGAAAACATACATAGAACAACATCCAATTATTTTTTGTTGGTACAAAGTCATCTGCAACATTGTTTTAAATGAGTCATGTTTTTGCGGCAACGCAAACTTGTTCTAGGCCTAAGACCTAATCATCCGAACTTTCGCTTTCTAACCCACTTGAAAAATAATCTGAATTATCATTGTATTCGTGTGTGATCGGAAAATCATCCTCCGAATCACTTAAGTCATTAACTAAAAAGAATTATAAAAAAATTCCTGATTTATTTGTAAGCGAAATGGTCCAGCTATGGCCTCATCCATTTCGCAAAAATCTACTTAGACAAATTTGCTTGATAAAGATCGTTGTATAAAATACTCCAAAGCTTAAAAAAAGGACACAGAAGAGCGAAAAACGGAAGTTTATCTATTATTAAATGGAAGTAGCTTTATTTAGTGTGAAATATTGGACTGGAAGTTGTTCTCTCAATGCAATTTTTATCGGCTGATAAAATCGGCCGACACAGGACAGAAAGAGGAAATCTGACGATTTTATCAGCCGACCACAGTTGGTGGGTTAAAGGGACATAATTTTTTATGCCGGAGGATTGACATAGTTTCGTGACAGTTCTGATAAAATGAATGACTGCCAGTTCCCGGGCCAGCTTATTTGATGGCAGAATTCAGATTACAACAAAATTAATGTTACCACTGTTTAGACTCTTTCCCTACCACAGTTTATGTATATGTTTCTTGTTTCTGTCCAGTATTGTTTAAGTATTTTTTCCATTTAATAAAAAATTGAACAACATTTTCATGTATTATTAGACCTCTTTAAAGACCAAGTCACCATAATGTACTTATTATTCACAGAGAGTAGTCAACAAAAGTCTTCTCCAACTCCTAAATGTCCAGGTACATAATTAATTACTATATTACTGTCTAACTGTTGTTTGACTCAGATTATCATTTTTATCAAACTCAAAGCAGTCAGAAACAACCACCAGTTCAACTAAAATTTATGATAAGATTATGTGAACAATGCTAACTTAATAGGGAGAATGTGAAGATTATTTGAAATTGTTAGTAGTAGAAGTAGTAGTATAATGCTAAGATTATAAGTTAGGTCAGAAAGCTAAAATATTTGAACAATGCTAGTATTATATTTTAACTTGGTGAAAACAATTTTTAAGTACAGTACACATTATTAATTAAGTTTTCATTTTTAAACGGATCACATTTTAGACGCCATAACAGTTCAGAATGGAATAGTAGCTTATGTGATACAATTGTCATATTCAACAAAGGTTGTAAAACAGGCTCTGAACTTAACAGCCGCACTTACAATATTGCTATAGAAACCAGTGCTTTCACCTGCGTTCATCATCGTACAGTACGTGAGTTGGAAAGAGAAGCCATTGCTGAATATAGTGGATCAAATTATAGTTCAGGTATAAAATGTTTAACTAATTTTTTTAAAGTGTATCTTTATTTTTTCATGTTAGAAAAAATAAAATTAAAAAAAATAACTAGGCATTTTATGAAGTTTGACATCTAAAAACCATGTAGAAGTGTTCTTCATAAAATGCCTTATAAATGTTTACGAGATGGCTCAAAAAGCTGATGTCTATGGTTAATTGTTTACTCTTATAAAATGTATGATTTCTGATGCTATTGACAATTGACAATTATGTGCATGTTTTTCAGACTCCGCTCAGGAAGAATCGGATGAAAAGAATGTTAACATGCCAAGTAAAACTCTGGAAGAGTTGGATCAAAGTTTCGTTTCAGATAACAGTGAAAATGATGTTTATAACTTTACTTCAGAAAGTGGTGAAAAGGTACTAAAATTAAAAATACTTTATATGGCCAGTAATATAATTGTTTGATATAAATTTAACTTGTTAAAAATGAAGTTTGATAGTTATTAATTTTGCTAAAAGGTAATTTTTATATATAGTTTTAAAAAAGTTTATGATCAAAACATTTTTATTTTATTAATATTCAAATTTAGAGAATTTTTTTTTAATGTAAAATAATTGTATGACTAATAAAATATGGAGATGAAAAACTGCCAGTAAGTTGATTGAATGTTTGTCATTTACTACAGTATTCTACACCAATGAATGCTGTATTCTCAACACATTAGTTCATGTTCATCCACAGCCGGATTCTTCACCTTGTATTGATTTTTCCTTAAAGTCAGTGAGAGCAACACTCCGCAAGAAAAGACCTTCTAGTCTATTACAAAATCGGCGTCAAAGAATCCCTTACACTGAGCAGGAGATGCTCAATCTAAAGGAAGGTGTGGCCATGATGGGGACGTGCTGGCAACAAATCTTATGCAGTTACAATTTTCATCCCAGCCGAACTGCTGTTGACCTTAAGGATAAGTACAAAAGATTAATGGTAAGGTCTAAGTGGTGTCACTTGCTATTCAGAGTTATATGTCTTTAAAGGAAAAAGACCAAATTAGTTACTTTGATGAATTGTAACTTTAAAAAATGTATACAATTTTTATAAAGTGGATATCGTTTAAGATATGTATTTAACTTAAAATTTAAAATATTTTACATTACAAAACATGAAAACACTCATGACAGGCCTATTGATAAAAATTAATTTTCTACAATGGTTATCTAAATTGCATTTTTTGGCTTAAATTAAATAGATTGTAGACATTCTCTCCTTGTTGTCTTTACTTTTTTTTAAAACAGACATTGTTTTAAAGCTGGTAATATATAATCACAATTGAAATATGGTGTTGATTTATGTTGAGGCTACTGATTAAGTCATCACCAAAGTGAAATTAGGATATTGTTTTTACTATTAATGTGTGACTCAATAAATGAATCTGAGTTCGAGGGTATGATTAAAAATATATTTTATTACGTGTCTTTGATAGAAAATTTTGCAAAATTTAAAAAAAAAGTAAATATGGGGATTGAGGACCTAATTAAATTCATTTATTTTTATAACAAAATTTTGTATTTTTACAAACTACTGCTGGTAGGATCATCCATCTATCCTTGTGCCACTACAGCCCATGTAGGGCTTTAGCCTGCCTCACCACATCCTTTCCGTCAGACCTAACTGATGCTTTTCTTTTCCATGCTTGGATTCCCAACTGCTGTAGATCCCTCTCCACATCATCCATCCATCTAAGCTTAAAGGTCTGCTTTTTCCACTAGAGTTTTGGTGCACCCTCTTCACTTCTCAGTCATTTGGCATTCTAAATGTTCAGCCCAGCGTAGCCTGCCCTTTTTTATTTCTGTTACTCTAGTGTGGGATCCTGATAAAAACTATACAATTCCTGGTTGGTTCGTATTCTCCATCCATATTCATCCTTTGTTAGTTTGTATATTTTCCAGAGAACTTTTCTCTCCCATGTGTTAAATAGGTTTTCTGCTATTTTGTTATAGTCCAAGTTTCACTTGCGTATATTACAACTTGTCTGATTACATTTTATGCATAGTTTTCTTTGACTTTCTTGTGATTTTTTTACTTTTGAGTATTTTCTGAAGTCTGCTCTGTTTATAGCTGATATTCATTCTTTTATTTCTGTGAGTAATTCATTTTTTTCATTTACTAGAGATACTAGGAGTTAAGTTGATTTACTTTTTCAAAAGTGTGGTTTCTAATTATAATGTTTTTTAGGGGTTGTTTAATTAATTATGGGTTGGGCTTTTATAAAAGTGGACACCACCTTCCCTCCATTTAGGTTCTAGATGTTGGGGAAACAGAAGCTTTAAATCTAATGTAACATAATTTTAATGTTCACGAACACAATTTTTTAGCAACAATGCTGTTTTAGGCACAATGTCTTATTTGTAAAAATTTAATTTCTTAAAACTTAAATATTTTGATATCAGGCACTACAAAAAGCCAGCACCAAACAGAAGAGATCACCAAAACCCTTTTCAATGTGCGAAATAAGAAGGTTGAAAAGAGGGGTCAAGACTTATGGTTACAACTGGAAGGCTATCCTGGCAGGTGGCAGATATGTTCCAGGACGCACTGCTGCAGATTTGCGGGACAAGTGGCGATCACTTAACAAGGTTACTTGATCTGTACTTTCCAAGATTTAAAAATGAGACCAGTCCCACTTGTAGGAAATAATGTATAGACATTGAAGTAACTTATTTTCTATTTATGATATTAGGAAAGTAGAAGGAACAACGAAAAAAATAAAATTCTATATTTGAATTTAAATAATTTCTTTGATTAAAAGATATTAAGACAATATTGCAAGTGAAGTTTGTAAAAAATTCAGTTTTTCATTTTTTGTAGTGATGTTTTATTTACTTTATTTTGTATGCTCTTGTGGCATAGTGGTAAGATTCTCTGCCTTAACCAAGAGAAAGTTGGTTAAAATTCATCAAGGGTTGTGTACATGTTGTTTGGTATGTGCTATTTCCTGATTGAGGCAGCTAATCTGGAGGATACTGTTAATCATAAATAAAAATCCTCAACCATCAAAGAAAGACAGCAGATAATTTTGTGTGTGGTTTAATTTTAATTGCTTTTCAAAAAAAAACAAATGGTTGTTGACATCTCCCCATTTGAGGGACAGATGGTGAAATTTAATTTATATAAATCCTGCACCTAAATTAAAAATACAGTATTTTGATATTCTGTTAGCATTTATTGAAATGTAGTCTCTTTCAAATTCTGTTATTTATTTTTACTATGTAAGCGGATGCTTTGATGTAGCAATTTTTTAAAATGTAATAATAATGCTTTGTAAGAAATACTCTCCCATAAAGGTTTTCATGGTAATATTGATATTAAATAATTGGTTGTATTATTACAAAGGCTTTAGATGTCTTTTTTTTCATTATTTAATGTTTTGTGAAAGTCAAAATAAGTAAAAGAATATCAGTTATTTTATACAGTTTTTGTATCATTACAGCCATGATTTCATTCATAATTATTATATTTTGTGAATAAAAAATATCTAGAATAATGAGTTATTTTCTTGATATTATTATTGGACCTTTAGAATAAATAGCAAAATCTGGTACGTTTGCTACAAAATTTGTCTTGTTAATCAAGTAAGAAATATTTGTCACAATTAAAATCGTCATGTTGTAATGATCTAGTATCCATTTCTCATTTGAAACTGACCTCACCTTATAAAAACAGAAGAGAAAAATAAATGTCTCTCACTTCATTAAGTGATAACAAACTCATTACAACTTCAGGCTTAATTTTAAAGTTTTCCCGCCAACTCGCAAATGTGAATTTCAAGTTGTTTACAGTTCTTGCCAACCTAAATACATGTGTAATCTAAATACAGGCTTTGCTTGAATCCATGCTCTGTGTTGAAAATTTCATCTATGCACCATCCAAAGGAGTAGGCTTAATTAGCTGACAAGTGTCCTGCAATGGATCACTGTACAGAGTAGAACTGGTGTGGTTGATTTATGAACAAGAACAAATAGATTGAAATAAAATAACGGCCCATTTTTATTATATAATAAATAGCCACTAATGGAAAGTAATGCCTAAGGAAAAAAAGACTACATACTACAACACATCGCTGTTAAATAACAGAGAATTAAAATGATAAAACATCTACAGCAACATAAAATAATTAAAACAAAATAAAGGTTAATTTTAAATGCTGGAACTCAAAAAAGTTTAATTTTAAAGTTCAAAAATTACAAAACAATTTACATTTTCTTTTCTTACACTAACACTGTAATTTAATATTCCTACCTTTCATTTAACTGCTTAAATAATTTACATACACTTGACTAACAAAATATAAATAAACAATGTCTAACCTTTAAAAGCAATTATAATGAATTATTAAACTGGAGGTAAGAGTTATCATACACATTGATTTCTTTTTATAAACATTCATATATTACATTATTACAATTAATAAGTGAAAATAAAAAGCAAGAAAATCTTGTATGGTAACAAAAAAGTAAATAAAACAACCTGGACAACATCACATGACTCAAAAGTTTATTGGATGCAAATTGAATTTCACTGAGGTTGGTATAATGAGGAGGGTTAATGTTTTGTTGCGTTAAAACAGAAACTTTATCAATGACACACTAAGCTAGGTGTTTTGTCAGGTATGTAATAAGTAACATTACTTGAGTACTTGACAAAGTCTTACCTTCTGAGGCAATGTGAGGAGTCGGAGGTGTGTTTTGGACACTTCAACGACCTGATTGAAAAATAATGCAACTATTTTTTAAAAACTAAAAAAAAACAGCTACATTTTTTTAAAAGCTTTGTTCTGGATTTATTACCTTCATGAGGAATATGCAGTCGTGTGCAAGTGTTACCCATTAACCCATAGTTATGGCTTGCTCTATGACACGTTTATTAAAATGGTATGAGTGCAAAGTGCAGCAAAGTCCAGTTAAAACTATGAAAGATCTGCGCAGCAGATATTTTCAAATTACTCTATGGCTAGCAGAAAGAATTATTTAGATTCATTTAGTCATATTATTTTATGTTTCTGTGCAATTAAATTTGATTTCCAAGTGTGATTACTGAAAACATCAGACTGGACAGGTTTATGCAATCTTGACTAAATGTACTGGGACTTTAAGAGTCGGACAGATAGACGGATCCCATCGTCTGAAATACTTTGACAAAATATTTCATCGGGCTTTGAAAATGTTCACAAGTTAGGAATTCATTGAAAATTCTCTTTAGGGGATTAATTTATGATACAAATATACTCTAAAAGTCTATACATTTATTATATTAGTCACAAAGGGTTTGATTTTTTTTATTGTAAGAGTACAATAGATGAGCTTATGCATTATGCAGGCTACATTTGCAGACTGAGAACATAATGCCATTTCTTTTTGAGCTCCCTGCTAATCTGCTACTGATTTTTGGTCTAGCTTTTTAAGCTTTCCCTTTTCGCTCAATAAATGCATTTTTAAATAAGATGAAAAATATATGTGTAGTTTGTTTTTTGTTTTAATTTAAAATGTACATTGGCTCAAGGCATACATCATGAGGCTTATAATTGCTCACAAAAAAATCATTATTTTGAATTAATTAATGCATACAATGGTTTACATTATGAGAGATATCTGTTAACTAATATAAAATCTAAAAATGAAGAGTTGATTGCCTATTTCAATAATGTCTGAAGTTGCACAATGTTACACGCCTGTTAAATAAAGATTTTTATTATTCTTTAAACAAAATATTTGGCAAAACATTGAAAGAATATTGATACATTTTAGTAGTGTTAAATTAAAAAATTTCCAGATTGTTTGTTTATTAAGAAGAGAAATATTTAAATAACTGTTACATTGTCCAACTGTCAGCAACCATTGGTGGATGAACATCACACAGTGTCTCTACAAACCTTGGACAGTGTGACAGGCACAATAGCAGTTGAAGAAATGTATTTGACATAAGTCCATCCTGCTAAAGTGCATATTCTTCATGAGCCACCCTAAAAATCACAATAAAATCTGTAAAATGGAATTTTATCCTTAGCATAAGAATTTTTGTTTGCTTTCATGACAATGAGAGCAATTCATTTTTTGTTTCAACTTTCTTGTGCTTCCTTTTTGGGATCTCTTTGCATGTTGTTTTATTTTCATGGTCACATATGTGGGTCTCTGGGATAAAATAATTCATAACAGGCACAAGGAACCTTTAAAAAGAGCAGCAAACCAAATCAAAATTAAATATAAACTTTTTTTTTTACAGTTGCACATAAGCTGCCATTATTCACAAATGTACAATCTTAATGTTTTAATAATTGGTGCTTCCAAAATTAAAATATATTGACGAGCCTGAGTCACATTAAATGATGCAAAATAATTTTAAACATGTTATTTTTCATTTTCAATGTTCTTCTAAATGGATATTTGAATGTTTATTTTCAAACTGAAAGGGGAGTGAATTTTCAAAATAGAAGGGGAGTGAATCTTCAAAGCCTAGCTTATATTAAAAATAAAACAGATTCTTAAAAATTATCAAGCAGGTTGAGATTTTTTTTTTCATGTGGCGTCTGCAGCAAAAGTTTACCCACTCTGGGGAGGATAATGCTTATTAGGTGTAAACATGTGGGCAGATGAGATGTCAAACCTAACTGGCTATTATTAATTATTCCATTCATATTTGTAATGCTGATAGCATGCAGTCAAGGAATAATGGCAAACAAAAATTGATTCAAAAAAATAATTCTCAGGACTTATCATTAGATTAGTTGCCTTAAAATAAGTGAGCAGATTTAATGGATGATGTTAATTTTTTTTATTTTCAGTTTCAGCAGAAAAAATAAATAACAAGAACACTGAGGGAACAAATTGTGCAAAAAGACAACAATGCTGACATTTTTGAAATTCTAAATCCAGGCATCCATATAATTTGACATACAAATTTAGAGATATAATGATGATACAACTGATATAGATAAAAAAAATTAAGAAATTAGATGATGGATTAAAGAAACACTGGCTGTGTTCCCCACACTATCCATACTAGAGTATTTCATTGCACAGGTCAGTACGGATAATTTCCACATGGTTTAATCAAGTTCACATGACCAACAAGGTTTAAATCATTTTAGCTAATTTTTGTGTGTGTGTACTTTCCTTTTGACAATCATCATGAGATAGGCCTCACTAGCAGCAAAATTATGATTTTCACACCTCAGACTGAAGAGAGGGACTTACAAAAGATTCAATCAGGACTGATTAGCTCCCTTTATGGATTTCTTTTTCTCCATTCATGTCAAGCCTTCATTTATGTAACAAAATGGCTATTCGGACCCGGGTCCGAGAAGTGAGAGGCTGGTATTAAAATTTAAAAAAAAAATATTATTGTTACGTTTTAAGACAAAATTTGGTATCAAATGAAAGATAATTGAATGGACTATATGTTTGTTAACTTACTTCTTTAGTTTAACTAAAATAAACTACCACAAATGACATCTGAATAGCATTGAGTCTAATGGGACCCGGGTCCAAATAGCGGCAATGCGTTTCAGGTTCCATTTTTGATACCACATTGTCCACATTTTGTCTTACAAACCCTACAATAATTTTCAAATATTTTTTAATAAACTCAGACTCTCACTTCTCGGACCCGGCCCGTGTCCAAATAGCAGCAGCCTTTATGTATAGTTTATTTTCCTTTTTCCCACACAATATCTTTCTACACTTATTGTCAAAATAATGTTTCCTCCTTTGCTAGAGAAGACAGAATGATTATGAAATATGACACCAGAATGATGCAAATAAATTATTTCTCCCAAGCTACAATTTAAGCTCTTTCCCTTGTCTTAGTTTTCAGGAAATGTGTTCGGGATTACAAAAACAAAACATAATTGTGAAGGCACCATCTCTTTACTCATTTTCTTCAAGTTCTTAAATGCCTTTTTAGCTAGCAGAAGTGACTGCAATTTAAAAAAACAACAACACCCACAGACAACATACATTAATTCCTCCTTCTAAAAATACTTTCACTGTTTTATAATTTTTTTTGTTTTCTTCCAATCCAAAATATTCTAAAAAACAAAGGTACCTTATTTGTACTCAGCAAATTATAATGACATAAAAAAAATATGTACATGTAGATTTGATTTTAACAAACAGGTTTATTGTAGGATACATCAGTAGACAAAATAGACAAGTCCTTAACAAAGATAAAAAAAAATAAAAAAATTAATCCAATTAATAATTAAGGATAGTTAATATTATGAGAACTGTTAGTTGTAACAGCTGAGATCTGTATGCAATTTGAGTGCAAGAGATGTTATCATTACCTTGTATAAATTTCACTTTTAGGAAAAACACACTTTAATAAATATCTGCTGTAGTAGTTTGGACAAGTTCCACAATAAATAACTGAAACTATCCCTAAGGAAAATGTGAACTCTGGGTAAAAAAAATAAAACAAAAATGTAGAAACAGAAAGAATTTGATATAAACAAATACTTATAATCCATAATATAAGTGCCTTTTATTAATCTTCAATATCGCAGGGCAATCTGTATAGCATTGCGAAGTTAAATTTTAATACACAAGGACCAACCTTCTGGCATTAAGGTATAACGTTTAAAATACATCATAAATTTTATTTGTACATATTGAGAAACCTTACTTTAAGTGAGTAATACAGTAAAGCTAAAAGTCTAGAGCAAAGGTTGTCAAGGAGCGGCTCCGGAGCCAAATTAAACTGAATAGATGCAGCTCTTATTCTTTTTTTAAAAAAAACAAACAACTTATCTATAATATAAATAAACTTAACAATCTGCCTTTGCCTATGGCACCCAAAATATTTTCTTAGCAATAAAAATGGATTCTCTCACACACACAAAAAACTTTGTCCTGATCTAAAGGTTGAGATTGTATTATGAAAATCTGTCCCTTATTTTCTTGTTAACTTCAGCTGAGATAAAAATTATGTTCCCATACCTTGCATTCTGACTTTTTAGCACTAAATATTGTCTCCATATCAAATACATTAATACCTCCAGTAAGTTCAAGTTCTTTTGGGTTATGTCATTGTTAACTTCATTGTGAAGAAATGCCTGTGATTTGACAAAATAAAAAATTTGACAGGGTAATTAGATTGACTTGTAGAATAAGTGATAACAAGACATAGCAATGGGTTACACGTGCACATTTCATCACTTTCCTGGGATTTTGAAGGTTTTGGCTGCAAATGGTTGGGTTTGGGTTTATTTCATAACAAAAACATTGAGAAAAAAGATCTGCTCAAACATAATTCACATGAAATATTTATTTCACTGGGCATATATAGATTTTAAAACATGGAAAAAGTCCCTGTGGATAAAAAAACACTACACACTGTAAAAAAATTTTTTTTCAAATAAACATACTCCAACAACATAATATTATCAGAAATAAATTGCTGATCACCATAGCTAACAAATCAAACTTACAATTTTTACAAACTTTTAGAAATTATTTATAATTCTACTGTGTTTAGTTATATAATCTTCAAACCACATATTTTACTAAAAACATTTACATGAGTTGGTGGGGAATGCTAGACTATCAAATTTTCAGATATCTATTTTTTTTTAAAAAAGGAATGATAACATACTAACTGTGTGACACCCTACAGCTATAACAATACCATTTCATAAATTAAGAGAACAATATTGAAAAAAATATACAATTAAATTAAAATGGCTTCTTGAATTATACACTAATTGTGTTGTGGTCGATTTGTTCACATTGTTTTAACTGAAGGTGCCATTCTTATTCTCATTTTTCTTACTGGATGGCGGCTTTGATGTGATTGTGAAGCAGTAGATCTGAAGATATTCACAGATTTCTTGGCACACGCTGGCGGAGTAGCGTAAGATATCCACCAACACCCACAACTGTAGATCACAAACAAACACAAAATGCACATTATTATAAGTTTGCATCAATTTGTTGTATAATCAATGAACAACACTGACTATTGCCAGAGTTTGAATTGAAAAACAAGCCTTGAAAAAAAACAAAAACTTTTTACTGACAAATTATAGCATTAAATTTTGCTGACATGTAAGTCCTCTGCATTGGTTAAATTTAAATACATTTTTAAGGCAGACAAAGGAAACAACTATAGTTTTTACTATATCAAAGTGGGAAGGAAGAGAAGACACCTATCTATTTTTGCTATAAATAGGTAAACATCCACTAAGATTAATAAGTATATAAACAGCACATTTTACTCATTTTTACTATCACAAATTTTATTTCCTGATGAAGAAAACTCATCTCATATTCAAAATTTTAAAAAAGCTAGACATCACAATATAATATATTAATCTGGTTTGTTGATATCCTTAAGGAATTTACAGTAATCAAAGCAAAGCTGTTTTAATTAATTATTTGCCTTTTAATTGGATCCATTAACAATGATGTAATTTGCTTTATTTTTAAAAAGAATGTGTGCCCTTCTCATAAATATATTTATAAAAATACTCACAAAACAAAGCCACAAGATTAGGTACTCATTAAACCAACAATTAAAATACTGATTGAGGAAAAGAGCCCCCGGGCCTATAAACCCTGTGTCCCAGAAATCCATTTCACTCTTTGTCATATGTGCCACCTGTAATACAGAGAAAGTTCAAGAAAACAAAGGGAAAAGAAACTTGAAAATTGCGTTTAATGGAAATACAGCAAATTATTAGTTTTCATTGAAATTTTCCTTTAATAATTAAGCAACAATTGAGAATGGTGCTGAAACTGACAACTAGATACTAAGAAACTTAAACAATATTCATTTTGGGTAATCAGGGACATTTTTTTTATAGTTGAACAATTTTAGGGACTGCTTAAATATCCCCATAATACTACAACATATAAAGCTCTTGACATATAGAGAATATTTAATTTATAAATAAATAATGAGTTCATGTAACTAAGTTTGTTTATAATTAGTATAGATACAATTTTTTATATGGGGGCTTGGACATTTAGAAAAGAAGTAATATTTATGGCAGATATTCTAAATAAGATTCTACATATTGCTAAGGATGCGTTACTAAAAATCTAGCAGTAATCTAAAATCTGTTATTGTGGATATTCAATAGTTTACAAGGCCAGAAAGTCTTAAAAAACACTTTAAACCAATTTCCTTTCAATATAAGAGGATAAAAATCCATTATGTTAATTAAATGATATCAATTCAGGCATGGACTTGTGCAACTGAGTGATTCCAATAAGCACTCTACAGAGACATGTTACTGTTGAAGTAATACTAACCACAAGTCTGTTAGTTACTTTAGCAGCCAGCAAACCAAAAGCTAACAGATAGAGACAAGGATTATTTTCAAACAACATAGATGGCGACTTCTGTTGTATCATGAATGCTATCAATATCACAGTTGTTATGGGGACAACTGGAAAAATGGTGCTGGTACCCTGAAATACAGAGGTTCTCATATTAAGTGATAGGTTTCAGTCAATTATCAATTGTCTTACTCCTTTACTTTGATATCTAGCTCAAGTTTTATGGTTGGTTGAAAATTTATTTATACAAGACAATAAATAGGGGGAATTTCAAAAACATTTAAAAATCACTTGCCATCAATAAATTAAAGGAATATTGTTTACACATAAATTGTCTTATCAAAATTCACTTAGTGGTCTTGAAAGTATAACTTCTGACAAATAAGTTGATAAATTAATATTTTTTAATAACTCAAGTAATATTAAGATCAACAACACACACACACAAAAGAATATCTGACTTAAAAGAATTGAGAAAATTAACAACTCACTGCTACTGTTGATCCATTCTTTCCTACTCCTCCTTGGAGTAATATAACTTTAAATGCAGATGTTATATGAAGTGCTGCTCCTGCCAGGCTAAAGTAAATAGGGAGCATTTTCAGTGGTATATTAACAACAGGAATCTGGAAAACAGAAGATGTCAGATCATATGGGATGAGTTTGTGATCTATTTAAACCTTATCAAAACTTAATCATATTAAAAAAATACATGTATCCCATCCAAATATAAACATTTCAAACTGTACATGTATCTCATCTAAATATACACATTTCAAAGATAAGAGTGCATGCAAAATCTAAACCAAAATAAAAATTGCACAAATTTAAATTTAACACCACAAATTTTAACTGAAAAAGGACTGAAAATATCAAATGGGTCTAAGGAAATGAAACAAAATTGTTTAATTTTTCTTAAGGCTGCTATACACATTTTCAGAAATAGCTAAGCCAAATTGTAGATAGGTGCACATTGTGCCTGGCATTTCACAGTATACTTTAATCAATGAATGAGCAGCATCGTTATGAAATTAAACAACCCCTAAGAATGTAATATAGAGTAATTGGGGGTGGGGAGGTTGGGGGGGGGGGCCTGAAAATTTGATAAAACATGCATTCTAGTAATGCACTTTATAAGACTCCAATTAGTGCTCCCCCCCCCCCCCCCCCCCCCCCCCCCCCCCCCCCCCCCCCCTGGGGGGGGGGGGTGGGGGGGGGGGGCCGAAAAATTTTAAAAAACAAGCCTTCTAGTAAGCAACTTTAAAAAACCCCATTTAGTCCCCCCCCCCCCCCCCCCCCCACCAAACACTCCCTACCACACATTTTATTCACGCCCTTGAACTATATTAATATTCTAATGATCCACCTGCTTTTACTCAGCAGATTAATTTCACAAACTAGTTCAGAAAAATCAAAATGAAATTTTTTAAAGAATCCCCTCTAGCACAGTTTTGCAGAATTTCATTTTATCTTCCCTGAAAATTTGATAGAATGTGTTGTCATTGGCAACGAGTCTGTGTGCCAAGTTTCAGCTCAATAGCTTGATGGGAAGGGAGCCAATTAGCCGTCCGAATATTTTGCCACCAAGCCACCCACAAACAAAAGCGAAGTTAATATAAAGGATTTAAAAAAGAAATATTTCTGCGAGGTATTGACACTCAGAAAAGTCAATTTTAAACTTTTCCCCCTTTTTTTCTTTTGACCGTATTAATTTATTGTAATGGTGACACTTACCTCAAATGACCAAAACTGGGGACCAAATATGGCTGCAACAAAATATACAAGCATGACCATCAGCTGTCCCTCGGTTACATCAATTCTGGAGGTATAAAATAAAAAGGGAAACTACAAACACTGAATTACAGTAACTCCTATATTTACTTATCCAACCAATGAACTCTATTCAATTTTTTATTTAAATCTACACATGTTATACTTAGAGTAACAGGCCCACTCACTTGCTAAATTTTAGTGTACCACAAACATATGTCTGCCAGTGAGCGCAGTAAAACAAAACATAAGCAGCTAAGTTTTCAAACAGCATCCAACCAGGCAAATAGCCAAGCTGCAATGTTATGCTGGTACCAAGTATAACTGCACCTGGAATATCAAAATAGATCTTCTGTAAGATAGCCATAAATACAATCAGGACCATCCTGATTTCATTTCTAGCATCTTCATTGAAGTGGATATTTTCTTATGATGTATCATCTAGTTTGGGAATGATGTTGACATATAACATGCAGAATAGCATCATGCAGGGAAGCACCACGTTTCATGGGGGCATTTAAAGAACATTAGCTGTCATTGTGACGTGACGTACGTTGTCTAGTAGAGGTCGGTCCCCTGCCTACTAGCCACAGAAAAATTTTCAAGGGTCTAGACCCCCTTTATTTCTAGCTCCTACAGAGCTGACTCTTATACAAGTATCAAACAAACGATGCAGAGATTCAGGTTTTTCTTTTTTATTGGCTAAGTGTGCCTAACAATGGAAAACTTCATAAGAATAAAACGTGTCCAGAAAAAACTCCACATACAAAACAAAGTTACACAAGTCTTCTGCCATCCGTAGAAAAACTCACTGCCTTCACAAGACAAAAATCATACACCATATCCACAGCACTCGCCACTGTTCACTCCTTAAAACAACTCATCTCCCCTTTTTTTCACACACTCCTATCATCACGTGGTTCCTCCCGACACAACGCACCGGTTTATACCTGACCGAGAAAAATAAAACTCGTGGGGCAGACTGGGAAAAGAAACTCACCCACTATTGGTCAAATTAACCTCATAAAAGCTGATCCAGAGAACTCATGCGATCTGACCGTGACAGTCATTTTCCATATATTGTTCATTTTACCAGCCAAGTTTGCTTAGTAAACAGCTTCTGCGTTCTGTTAACTTAAAGATGAATAATTTAGTGATATATGTGTATTCGATGTACCAGACGGAACTAACCTGTAGAGATGGAATCGCAGCCGTGATCAAAAAGTTCTCCCAGTGGTGAACTGGAATGTGTTCTGCGAGCCTGTTTTCCATCAATGGCATCAAGAGTTTGGTAAACAAATAAGCCCAAACCACTCAGAAAGTAAGCCCATCTTGGTGCCTTAATGGAATACAAAAAATCAACATAAATATAAAATGAAGATATATTTTTAAAAAATAATCAATGTGATGTTTTCTAAATTTTAAACAAATAATCTTAAAAATCATCCTAGGAATTTTAAACAGAAACAATTAATTAATTAAAACAAAAAATAGAACAAAAAAATTAAAGATCTCATAATTTTATTATTTATAAGGACATATGGTTTTTATCTTTAAGTGTAAACCCAGAGCCCAGCTACAGATGTCAGAAAACTACCGATAAACATGTGGCACACTTATCTTGGATATGAAAGTGAAGGGGGAAAAGATGACAAAAGACATTTATTTTGCTAGTGAACAATCAATATGCTCTTGGTAACAGTTGCTAGACTTTGGACTAGATTGTCACCCATAAAATAGGTTAGCAAAAGTTTGTATAATAGGGTGATGGTGATGAAGAACTAGATTATCAACCAAACAAGTGGGCAAATGAACTGTATTTTAAACTTGGTCCTAAAATGGATGTTATCTGGTGAACTTCAAGAGGCACAGTAAAATCCACAGAGTTGAAATTTGGCAACACATGTTACTGCACTTTAAAGTGCCATAGTTTTTAAAATTTAAAATTATATATAAATTAAAATAAATTAATAACATGTTAACATGGTGAGTCCATACTTTATTAAGTACCGGTAGTGAGGAGATTCAATTGAACATAAAAAATAGTTGACAACATATCAAAGGAACGGCCATAAATGTGGCATCTTTTATAACTTCATAAACAAAATTGTTTCTTTTGATTGCTCTTTGAACGCCTAATAAAAAATCAATTAAATAAATCATTACAGAACATAAATAATGCAACTTGAAATAAATTATATCAAGCTTTGAATATATGTGTACGCGTTTTGACTTAGGGTGTAAAATTCTATTTTCTACCATCCCTGTAGCTGTTTGCAATTAATCCATTTAGGAAGTTTAATATCTAAAAATGTTAATTGTTTGATTTTGCTTCAAACTTTTAAAAAAATGCTAAGAATAAACAACAGTGCCAAAACTATAATAATTATATTTTAATGAAGAAATTGTATAATTTTATGATTAATTATGTATCCTATGAATTCATCATCAAATTGTTAACATAAATTTACATAACTCATGTAAAATATCAGGTTAGATAAAGAGCGAGTCAAACTCTCAGATTTCTGCAGATTATTGGAGCTGAGTGAACTGATAAAAAATCTTAATGTATCCCATTAATTTATATTATGTGTAAAATAATTAAATCATTGACTATGAAGTTAACTATTTGTGTAAGTTATAAGCTGTGATTTATGGTTGGTATCTTTTTGAAACAATAATAGTAATGCCCCGAGGTTAAATTAAGGCATTTACATCAAGCTACAATTAATATTAGAAACTCCAAATACATCTCTGCTGTACATGTATGTGTAAGTCTAGGGCAGTCTACACAGGGGTGTGTGTGAAAGAAAGCAGCTGCTTCCAATCTGAGTTAGGAGGTAGTAAAATTTTTTAATCATTGGAGGTTAGTACTTTGGGGTAAAAAATTCTGTCTATTTTCTTAATTGCGATATTCCTTCACAACTATTGCCACTTCATTACTAAGGGTCTTGTCACTCTTTTTTTTTCTGACTTCCGAGCCACCTGTATGGATTGACTACTAATAATCGCTGGTATGCAATATCTCATCTTCATTCATCAAATATTTCCAAAAATTTTCGGTGACTACTATGAGACAATGAACTTAAGGCCTTGTGAAATCCTTCACAACAGTTTGTAGTCTTTGGACAGGCCTGAACAACATATGGCCCACGGGCCGAATGCGGCCAGACAGCACCCACTTTGCGAAACAAAATATTCTTTATTATTATTGTTTTCTGAATAGCTCGCCCCACTGTCCTATGATCTTTTGGCCCGTACACATTTTTCATAAAGTATTATGGCCCGCCTTACATTTTGAGTTTTGCAGGCCTGTCTTAGGAGATCTTTCTCAACAGCAGCTACTCACTCGCATTCGTCTGGATTCAAATTCATGTTACCAAGATTATTTTATTATTATTGTTTTAAACATGTTTTATATATATATTATATTTCCTTACTATCATATTCATAAATACATATTTTATTTTGTATCATTTATTATAAACATTATATAATGGCTATTTTTCAGTTTATTGCTTTTAGTATTTCAATAGCAGTGTACTTTTTTCCCCTTCATTGGAGAAAATTACTTTGATCCAAATGATTTATTTTCCCATTGTGCTGATTAGTCATAGTTCTTTTGGCCGTAGTTTTGTTCTCTTGTTGAGCTAATTTGTTCCATTTATTTTCTTTAATTGTTCTGTTGCTTCATGTTCTGATTTTTCATAGTCTGTCTATTCATGTTCTGTTGTATCCTGATCTGTTTTTTCATGTATATTATATACACCTAAATCCCACAACCTCTCAAAATTCTCAATTACTTACTGAACAAAACTTTTAAACCATTTTACCCATGCAAACTCTAAGCAGTGTATTTAATTAATAATATGAAAAGTATGCCTTTAACTTTACTCAAGTTTATTTATTATTCTTATACTTTTACTTTACTAAGTTGTGCATCCACCCAATATTGAACTACTTATTTTTGAAATCCAAAAATCATAATCATAGTAAGCGTTGTTCTACTGAATTGGTCATATCCTATACAAATTAACACCAACAAACACTGTATGAAAATTCAAAACATTTCGAATGTCTTTTTGTCATCAAAAATATCATCAGTTCATGTTCAAACCATGATTGACAATGTCAATGATTGAAGTTACATGGGACTCCATTCATATACTATATATCTTCTGCTTCAAAAAGACATAATATTTTACAGATTGCTCCTATCAATCATGGACTGAATCAAATGCTTATACATATGCTCTCTTCATATATTGGTGGTTTTAATATACATATTTATTACTATAATATCACACTACCAAAAGTGGACATTTTTAATCAAGTGGGATTTGAAGCTGGAGACAAAAACAAAGTAAAACCTACCTCTTGCTTGCAATCAGGACTGTAAAATGCTAGTATCAGTGTTGTAAGTACATTGACAATCAATCCAACAATTGTAATTGCATTTGGTGCCCACCATAGGGGAATCTGTTCTACTGTCCATTTCCAAAACACTTGCATAGGCGGCTCTATGAAAGATTGCCCTTCCGCACTATATTTATGTTCCATCAAACGTTTAAGTTGAGCCTGGGTCAGAATCTGATAATTCCGTATGTATTTATCATAGAAACCATCCTTTCTTGGAATAACAGAGGCACCAGCTGATGCCGCCATGGTGAATAAATTATATCACGTTTGAAAGGAGATATCTTCTTTCTAAGCCGAGAAATCAGCTGATTACACTTACTTACTGTCATCAATTTGTTTTCTATGCTGTTTTCACATTTCACGTCACCCCCTCAATTAGCTGCCCTACCGGAAATGACCCTTTACCTATAAACCCAGACTGCTGATACGATGTCCTTTTGTTTAACAAACTTTGACCAGCTGTCAATAAATTTTCGCCCTTTTAAAATGTATATATTGGTTATTAATTGATTAATTTTGCAGTTTATTTTGAAATCACCTAATTTCTTTTTTGTTACAAACAGTAGTAGTGTAAAATACATTCATATTATTAATACTTCAAATCTCATTAAAAAATCTTGTCCTTGTTAAATAACTATAAATTATGAATAAATTATAATTGTGACTACCCCCACGGCACCTTGTTACTGAAGTTACTGTTACTATGCAACTGATATTACTGAGTACTGAGGCGACTGAATGGTAGTGAATTTAATTCTTACCCTTATATAATTATTTATTGATAATAATAATATTAATACACTGCTAAAATGAGTTATTTATTCAGGACATTGAAAGGTTTTTCAATCCATTAAATTAACAAAAATAATAATTAATATTCGTGACTAATATTAATTATGGATGATAAAACTATCATAAAATTAAACTAAATTAATTTTTTTCCTTCAAACAAAACTAAAACTAATTTTTGACTTACATTCATAATTGTATTGCGCATTTTGATTCTATAATTTACTTTAATATTTATGTGTCTTCTTCTTCTATATATTAAGGGCCCATGATCAATTTATTGATCATTTTGGCTCCTATGCATGTAGATGGGATTTGCAATGTTTCTGTTACTGGTGTTGATGAGGAAATCATGCACTAGGGGTTTGAAGGCTTGAGGCAATAGACACAAATGTGTCTAGTGTTGTCGCCTCAACCGTTCCTTTTGAATTACAAATAAAGGAGATACATACTCTTACAAATATAGGAGATATATATACTATAAAAATCATGATCTATATTCTATATATAATATAAATATCTCAAGTCTTAATCAATGTATCACTATTATTTTATGATTGGCTTTCATCAGTATGCTAAATTGTTTTTCCACCCTCTCCATCTTAAGAAACTATATGAGTGCCTAGAAGTAATCCTAATCCTTTGTCAAGCATTTCCTGAGAAGAACATAAATAAGAACAAATCTGATGGTCAGAAATCCGGATACATTGAAATGTTTTTGAATGCATTAAAGTAAGTCATATTCATCAGACTGCCCACACATTTTACCCCTCGGCCCATTATGTCAAGTTTTTTAATCCTGTTCAAAAAGCCTCTCACTCACTCACCAAAATAATTTCCATAGGCATCAAAGTACAAAGCACACAAAAATTGCACATTTTACCCTCAATTTGCCCAATCTTAAAACTATCTCATTTGGCACATTTGCAAAAACACTGCAAATTAAAATGCATTTAAATACTCTTAATTTGCACATTGACCAAAACATCCTGAAGTGCATATGCTGCAGCATCCTTTTCCTAATTTGCCCAGACGTCTTAGTCTGATATTACAACATTCACAATAAAAGACAATGGGCATATTGTCTAAAATCTATATCATACACACCAATTAAGCCCACATCCTTCAGCATTTTTTAGAACTTACACTCTACCGGTTTCAAAAATGAAAACTACATCCATGTTTCAAATAAGAATGTACACTATAAAAAGAAAAAAACTCAAGACTTCAACTTAAAGTAAGTATGATTTAATTGTTTTTATTGTCTTAATTAATTACTGAATATAGATCAACAGTACAAAGGAACAGTCAGCTGTCACTGTAAGAACTCATTGACACAGGAGGTAATACTCAGTGGTCTGCACAACACATAGTAGAGTTACATTTCATTTTCTCTTCAATTTGTACATACTAAAATGCAGAGATCTCTACCTACAATCAGATCATTTAGGCGCAATTAATTGTAAATTAGTTTTATCATCACTAAGAAAAAAAAAGGAGCAATAAATGTAGAGAATGCAAAGAGATTCTTATGTAGGAAATAAAGGTAAAATAAATTCATACAATGAAACTATGTAAACAATTGTGAAAAAATTCACTAGTTTAATACTACAACTGCAAAAAAAATTTTTTAAGGAGGGACAAAAAAATGTACGAATTCAAAAAAAAAAAAAAATGATGATGAAAGGCCTAAAAATAATTTTGGTATATAGGATGACCAAAAAGCAGACGTTTATTGACGTTTGCTGAAAAAACCCAACAGAACATCAACTAACTAATGGGTCGGTTTTCCAATGAAAATAAGGTACACAAATTATTTGTAAAATATCTACATATGTACAAGTTTTGTAGATTAAAGAATTAAAAATAAGTTTACTTCAAATACAAGATAAGGTACTTGTATTTAGAAGTATTAGGATCTCCACATTTATAAAATGAAATTACACACGAGGAGCCTTGGGTGTCTAAAGCACTAGATAGCTAATGATAAATTTCATTTACAATATTTACAGAATTATTATTTCAAAAACCTGATAAATACATTGCAAGACAAATGTTGGACTAAACAATCCTAGTAGTTAAATAAGATACCGCTGGTTAAAACTGTCTCTAAAAGAAACAGTAAAATTGAAAAAAAAAATGCCATTTATTTATTTCAAAATAATATGATACACACTTTACAACTTAAGCAGACTTGTTTACCCCGAAACTCTTAAAATCGTACAATATCATTACACAATCGTTCAGCACATTATCTTAATAGTAAAAAATAAACATACAGTATATATAGTATATACACCTCAAAATCGTACATTGAACGCCAAAATCGTAAGAGTAAACAGGTCTGCTTAAGTTTACAGAGCAATTAATTATTTCTTTGATAAACTGTGAATCAATAAAATTTGCAGAAAATGTTAATCATTAGGTAAAAATGGCAAAAACAAATGTAAAAGAGTATTGTTCTCTAAAAGCATACCATTAAATTTTAAACAATAACTTGGATCTGTTAAATAGTAAATTAAATCAGTTAAATTATTTCAACTCTACCTTTTAAAAAACAACTAAAAACAACACCTCAAGGGTTTTAAATAAATGCATTAGGTATACATTTTAAAAAAATATAAGTAAAATGAAATAAACACAATTTAATTATAAAGTTATTCAAGAGTAGAAATCAGATTGAAGAAAGTCTCCATAATTTGCTCTTTAATTTTATTTAATAGATTTTTTTCATAAAGATATAGCATACATCATCAATACAATTCCAAAAATAATTGATAAAACGAATACAGTATTGTTCTTATTAATTAGCTTTTCTGCTCTATCAATTTTGGAGTATAAAAACATACATTAAATTCTCAGAAATGATTTACATGTACAAATGAATCTTGTTTTTTTATCTTAATTTGGCATGTAAGTTCTTAGTATAACTAAAAGTTTATTAAGATGTATATTGTAATTCATACACTTCTAAGTTTTAGTTATACTAAGTACAACAGGGCTTCCCAACCTGAGGTGCTTGTACCCACATAAGGTCTGTGGTGGATATCTGGGGGTATGCAAGGAAGTGTGATAATAAGAACAGAGGAACCAATAAGACATAATACAAAGTTTAAAAAAAATTGTAACTTTTAAATGTTTTAGATTATGTAATAAGTGACAATTTCTACAATTCTCTTTCAAATGCAATAAATTTTTTTAGAAATCCATATTGCGTTCATTTTAAAAGAACTTGTCACTTTTTTAAGGGGTGCAAGGTTTTTTCAAACGGTAGGGGGTGCAGAGTGTAGAAAAGTTTGGGTAACCCTGTTGTGCATCATGTCCTGCTTAACTATTTAGCTACAGCGGATTTTGTGTGTGTAGGGAAATACAAATATTTGCTCTTCATTAAGTAGTTCCTGAGCATCTTGTAAGGTAAAAATTTAAGTCTCACCTGTATCTTTATTTCAAGATAAAAGACAGTAACTTGGCTATGAGCTGCTTCACCTAATAAGGTAGGCTGAGTTGCAAGCCTTTGGTTCATGAAAAAATATCTTAACACAATTTCCTAATCCAGCTTAAAATAGGATTAGCAAGTCATGCTAAATGGGAAGTTCAATAAGAATAATGGGATATTAATATTATATTTAAAAATTATAGTGATATTTAAATTTACAAACAAATCTACAGTTTTTAGATATCAACAACCAGATTGTCACAGTCGAGATCAACATACTTATTCACCTCTATCATTTATCTGGGGTCACCTGCAACCTATATGAATAGATTAATCCTAGAAGCATATATTATAAAAAGACATTTTATCCCTGACATTCAGAGAACTCTTGAACTTACCCATTGACTTTGTTGGAACCCTTTGATGAAAACAAACTTGTATCTTTTTTTTTCCAACAGCCACTTTTATTATTAAAAAAAATTGCATTCACAATTTGCACATGATCCTTTAAATGAAGTATCATCTTATCAAAAGTTTAATAGTGACAGTAAGTTGTTGCCTTCATCATTTATTATTATCAACCTTGAAGGGTAGAACAATGTCTGAGTTGAATTTTGGCAAAGCAGGTCTGCTAACAACTGTGCCTGTGCTGCGTTTAGTGTTGACCACCGGCTCAACAGAATCACAACTATTGTCATTCTCATTCCTTTTCACAGCAGCATACGCTCCTTGCAGGTGGGAAAGAATCTGTGAAGAAGGTGTGTGCTTCGGGGGTTCCAACACAAGACATCCGTCTTTAATATTAAGCTCGCCCGTTAGCCTACCTGGCATCTGTCTATCGATACTCGAGCAGGAACCGGCATGTGCAGCACTAGCATTTTCTAGGGGGTTAAGAGAGTTTGAAGGAGACTTGTCAATGGAAGACTGTTGCAGGGTGTTCATTCTCCATAAATCATTGTTCGTTGAGAGAGCAGAAGTGGAGGAAGCTTTAGGTTCAGAACTATTGTTCTGGGCACCCCCAGTATGGCTGCACTTACTTAAGATACTTGGGTTGTGTTCTTTATTCTTTTTGGGAAAGCTACCCAGACCCCTATCTAATGAGTGAGCTTTTGAAGGTATTTGTAACATAATGTTACCATCTTTAACAACCAGCTCACCACTCAGCCTTGAAGGGTGTTCAGTGCTAGAGGACTTCTGCGCACCGGCAACTAGATTGGAGAAGGGTGACAGCTGACCATCTGATGGAGGAAAAGTATTAGTGGTTATGACACCATCAGCAGTGTGTAGGAGAATCTGACCTTTCTGTACAGAGAGGTGGCCAGCCCTGGGTTTACGCTCTTCATCCCGCCTTAAGACTTCATTGAGCAGTGCATTGCTTGCACTATTGGCGGCATGATTAGGGTTGGTTGAAGATGGTGTGCCGACGCCCGCTGACATACTGCCTGCAGGACTCGGCCTATCTTTGTGTTTTCTCACCAAGCATGTTTCATAATCATGGGAAGACACAACCCTGTCACTGTTATTTTCAGGAAATTCACACTCAGCTTCTGGAATAAAGGCAGATGCTGTGGCTAATAATAAAAGAGAATTTTCCCAGGGATCCTCATAATCATCATTCACTGTTGTGATTGTCAATGGTGCATCAACCGCATTCGTAGCAGATGCAGCCGGACGTGCGTTCTCTTCAGCGTCATTCATCTGGGGCCGCATGCTAACATTTGCCTCTTGGTGAGACATCACCCTTAAGATAGGTGAAGCATTTTCTGCTTTAACTACCTCCAGCTCAGATGGAGGCCCTACTTGAGCAGAGATGACAGCAGAATCATCTGCAATGGAAGAACTGTTGTCTAAAGCACATTCAGTATTCGGAACGTTTGAAGCAGCTCCATGTGTTTTATGTTTTGGTGTTTGTGTGCTCTGTGATGCCAAGCAGGGGGAAGATTCCAGTTTACCTGTTCTCTGAGGAGACGAAGTCAAGGTGATGATGTTCACTCTCTGATCTTGGTCAGAGCCAATGACCAATTGCCGGACTTCATTCAATGGCTCATGGGCCGGGTCTTCATTTAGCGCTGATGCTGCAACATTCCCGCCAGTGCCGGGGCCTGACAAATGTGAGCCAAGCAAGGACTGCAAAAATCTGGAGTAAATGTTTATTCCAGGCAGAGTCTCAGCACTGCCTTCTGCTTGGGCACAGGTAACAGAATTTCCCCTGGGTAAGGGCACCACATCATTACAACGAGATCCTCCAAGGCAGTTTTGAACACTGGACTGAGAGATATTTTGCAAATTGGAATGGGCACTGTTGGCACGAATAGGGTTCTCTTCAACTGTCTGCCTTGCTCTGCGTCTGTCGATAGTGCTGTAAGGAGGTGGGGGGTGTTTTGCCTCACCCCCCTCGCCAGCACCACCACCAGCCTCTGAGTATGGGGGTGGAGAATCTATAAACAGAGAATAATCATAGCCAGGCATGTACTGCACACCATTGTTTACGTTGACAATGATATGTCCATAATGAGGTTGAGTGGCAGTTGGCAGGAACGGATGCTGATCAGTAGGACCTTCCTCACCTTGTCCCAAGGATGTAGGTTCTCCAGACCCACCTACAGTTTGGGAAGAAATCATTAGTATCTAAATTTAGCTTTAAAATTAAATTGAAATGAAACATTAGCCATTCCACAAAATAAGACCCACTGACATTCAAAACAACCATTCACCACACTGTCTCTTGATAACTCTCTTGTCAAGTATCTGATAACTAAATGCATAACAAGATTACCCCTCACCCCATGCACCTATATGATGCTGCTTCCTTAACACTTCAGTGACACACTTCTATAATTTAATTTCATAGGCAGTGGGTGACTCACCAATCAATATTGTATCTGGCTGCTTTCACTTAAAAATTAATCCCAGACAAAAATTATGAAAAAAAAACAACTGATAGATTCAAATTCTGGGAGAAATCTGTAAACAAAATATGTTTGCTGAAAGATGGAATTTTTAAAATAACTTTTTGCTCAGCATCAGCACCCAAACCAAAATAAAATTTTACAAGTCTATATGCACGTGAAACATGGATCTATGGACGGTCTATCAACGCTATGCTAGGAAACTTAACCACTTTCACAAGATGAACCTCTATAAAATCCGCAACATCAAATGGCAAGACAAGGTCCTAGACACCAATGGCAGTCGCACAAGCAGCACATACATTTAATTAATTATAATGCTGTCCCAGCTTCCCTGGACGGGACATGTTGGAAGAATGCCAGACGACAGTTTGAAAATATTTTATGGTGAACCCAAGCATGACAGTGGGTTTGCTGGGGTACAGAAGAAAAGATTTAAAAATGCAATGAAAGCATCTTTGAAAGGGTTACACATTAACCCAGACATGTGGGAACAGTCCCCACAGAATCGAGACTCATGGTGCCCCTCTCTACACAAAGGCTCAATGCAACATGACGCAAACAGTACAGCTACTGCAGAGCACTCATGAAAAGGCAGAGTTAACTTTGTAGCTAGAGTTGTCTCGTCCATCCCCTGCGCAAGAACATTTTGTATCATAATCCTCCCAGCGATCAGCGCACCCATAGACAGAGACAGCCCCAGCACCAATCGGATCTTTAAATAATTTTTCATCATATTAAAAGATTCACTGACTTGACAACAATCAAAACCAAATAACTGCCACATTCATTAGGTCAACTTTGAAAATGATTTGTTATGCAAACTTTTAATATTAATAAAATTATAAGGCCTACAATCTCAAACTATTTTCAAGGTATATTAAAAGCGTGTTTTTGAAATGAACTTTATTATTATTATATAATCAGTCACACAAATAATGCCTTCTTCCACTAGAAAACTAATCCCTTACAAAAATGATATGACTATTAAGAACAAGGAAAAACACAGAGAAATTACAAAACCTCAATGAAAGATGGAATGTGTAAAACAACCTTTCCCTCACCATTCTGATAAACCTGTTCAAAACCTCTTGCAATTCTCAGCTCCCTCAGTCGCTTCATTTTGATTCGAAACACCAAAATGACAATGAATGCAATAAGGATAACGAGGCCAACTGTGCAGGCAATAACAGTTGAAGCAGTAATCTTCAGCCAGCCAAAGTGATTGTCTTCTGTGACAGGTTGAGCAGTAACTGTGGAGGTTGCTTTAACTAATGGAAGAAAACTATGTGTGTTATTTAAAATATAAAAACATGTCATTTTTTGTTGTTTTCACTACAGACAGACAGGGCCAGAACATTAATAAAAAAAAACAAACTTTTAACTCATTTACATATAACAAGTAATATCAAACTTTTGATAAAACAGGTACCATGTCAAAAAATATGTTTTTCTTCAAATAAAATTATCTTAATTTAATTATTGGTTTCAAAATAGATTGTCAGAATTCGTATCCTTAGTTCAAACTAAGGCATTCCATTGTTTACACGTTTAAATGATTATTGACAATCTTACTTGAGCAAATAGCACCTTCATCAGAAAAGTCCCCACAGTTGTCAAGACGATCACAGAGTTCATTCTGAGGGACACATCTAGTGTTGTTGCACCTAAACTTCCCAAGACAAGGGTCAGCTGTGAGGAAAATTTAAATTTATCTCATATATAACTTTACAGCACAAGCATTAATACAAATTCTTCTAGACTCTTTCTCTGATTCTTACAGACCTTAAATAAAAACTTCATCACATGATTGATCAGCTGGGGTCAATTTGTTTTGAAAAATTATTTCATTGTTATTAATAATGGCAAAGTAACCAACTTACTATCGCAATCTTCATCAGAGCCGTCACCGCAATCATCTTTACCATCACATCGATATCGAATAAAAACACAGTGCTTGGACTTTTTGCATTTGAATTGGGTGACACTACATGTAGCAGATCCAGATTCTAACATATAAATAATAACATTCCTTTGACAGCTTGTAAAGTAAATGTCATAATTGGGAGATTGATAAAATTGAAAAAAAAAAAAAGTTTAACTAATAGCATGAAAGAAATGTGGCTCATGACATTTATTGAGCAACACACATCAAATACACTATTCTTTACCCATTGGTTGATGTTTAACAAGAAGAGTGTAATAAAAAAAATGAATGAAAAATTCTTCCATGGAGATTTCATTTAAAAAAACTGCTAATTACTCACTGTGATGACTTTTAGCATATTTTTGTGTTTATCAGTGAAATAAATTCATAATAGAGCTCTAAAATACACATTAATAAATGTTAAGAGCCTTTCAGATTTATGGAAAAGTTATCCTTTATTTTTATAAATAATAGTTTAAAGATTTACCTTTGTTTTCAACTAGTAAGTTGAACTGAGCTGTTTCTTCTCCTCCATTGTCCATGACCAAAACACACGAGTAATGACCAGCGTCAGATGGTCGCAGAGACTGAAATCGCATGGTAACTGTGGTACTGTTTGGTTGATATTGCTGCATTCCATAATCACCTCTCTCTGAATTGGGACCAATCCACTTTAAAGAGTCAACACGTGAAGTTACATGAGCTGTACAGTGCACCTGACAATCAATTCACAGTTATAGAATGAAAATAAATGAAAAATTATACTAATTTTGAACTTTTAATGTTGTAGAAAATGTATAAAAACTTGTTCAAAATAAAATAATAGTTATTACTATTGCTTTCTAAATGACGAATACCAGGGAAATTAATGTACCTGAATAGCACCGCCTTCGACACCTTGTATTTGTTTATCAGAAAGTATTAGGAGATTCTTCTGGTTTGCAGACACCAAGATAAAACAGCAGCCTAAATTTAAAAAATTAATAAAGAGAACTGTAAAAAGAACAAATTAATAGTAACAATTATTGTATCTGCCATTTGAACATTGTATTTTATTTACTTGACCATGCATCCAGTAGGTTAGGAAAGACTGGGTTTATATAGTGATTCCTGGTATGACAGCTTTTCTGCATGGTTTTGGAAAACTCTCCACAATTTGCAAGCTTAGTGAAAGACTTTGATGTAGACTAAAATGCTAGTGTGTTGAGTGAATTAAATGATTAGTCCCACTAATAATTCAATATTTGGTAAAGATATATACTATTGAACCTTTGTTAATAGTTAATCACCAAGACTTAATTTCATTGATACCAGATACACGAATAATGACTTTATTAAAATGATTGGGTCCATGCAAAGAGAATGCAGCATGACATCATTTACATGTTTATTTAAGATTCTTGCAGGAGTCATTCCCCCTTGTTTATTTTTAGTGAATTATTTTTTTATGCATTAATTTTACTACGCCGGAGGAATGTTTAGTTAAATATTGGTTTTTGGCCGTTTTCTGAGTTAATTTTCATATAAATGACAAAATTAAATGATTATTTTTAAAATAAAAATATTGAATTTATTTCTTGAAAACTTTATGTTAATTCATTGGAAGAAGTGGTAAAGGTCAACATTTAACTGCTGCTAGAACATTTCATGATAATAATTAACTTATATTAAAATTTAAATTTAAAGTTAAATTTTATGTCAACAATTACTTGCCCTTTTGGTTTTTTTGTGTCAGTCTGAGCACGTGGAAATTTTAGAATGTTCAAAATGTTAATGAAAAATAGAGAAATTATTTTTTGATCTGGTACTTTAAAATTATGCAGATATAGAAAGGAGTGCTTAAATGTCACGTCATTTGCTCATCTTGCTTTTTCTCCAGTGTCCGCTGTAAGTTCAAAATTTGTTATTTTGTGGGCTAAATTTATGCAGATGGAAGCTGAATTTACCGCCTGTTTTTGGAATCGTCTGGAAATTTCAGTGCGAAAGGAGTGTGATAGGATGGGTCATAAGCGCTTAAGGATATGAAATTGTGTGCAACGGCAGGTGTTTCAGATGGGTTTGTTTGGAGATCTCTTTGACTTCGCATTTACAAATGATTGTTTTACTTAATTCATACCCTTGCCTTACTTTAAATTATTTACTTCCCATAAGCTAAACATGTGCTGATTGCAAAATTGACCATAGGAACATAGCAACATTGTCAATGACATTGACATTAGTCTTAGTGTCTCTCTCAGATATGCGACGAGACCGGCTGACAACCTGATACCCTGCCCCTTACTTCCTTTGCGTTTTCTCAGTTGCGTGTTTGATTACACACTGTGCACCAAAATTAATTATATAATACAGTTATTAAATATCGAAGTGGTTATGCGCAGCCGACTGCGTATAACCCTGAGAATTATACGCAGTTGGCAAGTCACGTGAGGTCTATATTTTTCCTGTGTTACAGTATCAATCAATAAGGGTGTCTCGTTCTCGGGGTGACTGGGTGGTCGAATGCTACAACCTAACCAAACCTCAAGTTGGTGGTCTTGAGTTCAATTCCAGCCAACGGCAAGCCATGAATACGTGTTAGTTGCTATGTTTGTTCTCGAGAATGAAGCAAAATCAACTAGGCTTATTGTTTTACTTTTGTTTTGGCTAAAAAATGTTAAAACATGAGAAGAATTATTAACTTGACCAATGTAATGTTAATAATGTTATACTTATAATTATCAAATATATGTTTGTGTTGTTAACATATATTTTGTGTTGTTGACTAATTTTGTGGCAGATAAAAACATGTTTCTCTGGTACAGTAATAAATATAGACTAATCATGGGTTGAGAGTAGCACTAAAAAAATCGCTGTAGGGCTGTAGGGGCAGGGGTTCTGTAGAGGGGGCACTGTAAGTAATACTTTCACACAGTTATAGTTTTGCATGAAGCTGAAAACTGTTACATTTTGGTCATCAAAAAAAAAAAAATTATAAATGATATAATTTAAAAAAAAATAAATAGAATGTATTTCCTGAATTAGTCAGTAAAACCAACCACATGGTCATAGCAACATATAAAAACCTAATCAATCAAAATACTTAACTAGACTTAGACCGGGGCTTAGACTCTAAGAAATGTAGACTTTGACTTATACTTATAATATATAAGATACAAGCAATAATACTAATAATAGCACTAATACTAATACTAATTCTATCATCAATTTCAATATTAATTAAAATTAATTATAATTCAATTAAAATTTTACATTAAACACTTAAAAAGTTATAGTTATAGCTCAAAACAACCCATAATGCAGCTAATTACGCATAATAATTTTTTTTAAAATTGCCAAACAAGCGATTGATAAAGGGAAGCGTTATACGCAGTTGACTGCGCATAACCCTGAGGGTTATTCACAGCCGACTGCGTTTAACTCTCAGGGTTATACGCAGTCGGCTGGGAATTTAGCCAAATAAGGTTTATCAATCGCTTGTTTGGCAATTAAAAAAAAAGTATTATGTGTAATTAGCTGCATGATTGGGTTGTTTTGAACTAGAACTTTGGATGTGTTGAAAGAAAAATTTTAATTGAATTAATTTTAATTAATATTGAAATTGATGATAGCAATAGTATTAGTGCTATTATTAGTATTATTGCTTGTATCTTATATATTATAAGTATAAGTCAAAGTCTACATTTCTTAGAGTCTAAGTCTTAGATTTTTTTAAAGGCATTTCCATGGTCTTAGTCTAGTCATGTATTTTGATTGATTAGGTTTTTATATGTTGCTATGACTATGTGATTGGTTTTACTGACTAATTCAGGAAATACATTCTATTTATCTTTTTTTAAATTTTATCATTTATGATTTTTTTTTTGCTGACCTAAATGTAACAGTTTTCAGCTTCCATGCAAAACTATAACTGTGTGAAAGTATTACTTACAGTGCCCCCTCTACAGAACCCCCTGCCCTACTTACACTGACCCCTCTACAGAACCCCTGCCCCTATCGGGCGATTTTTTTCCTGCTACTCTCAACCCATGATTATTTTTATTACTGTGCCAGTGAAACATGATTTTATCTGCCACAAAATTAGTTAACAACACAAATATATATTTGATAATTATAAGTATAACATTATTAACATTACATTGGTCAAGTTAATAATTCTTCCCATGTTTTTACATTTTTTAGCCAAAAAAAAAAGTAAAACAATAAGCCTAGTTGTTGCTTCATTCTCGAGAAAAAGCATAGCAACTACCGTGTATACATGGCTTGCCGTTGGCTGGAATTGAACTCAAAGCCACCAACTTGAGGATTGGTCAGTTTAGACCATTCGACCACACAGTCACCCGATATCAATGCACCCTTATTGATTGATACTGTAACACAGGAAGAATATAGACGTCACGTGACTTGCCGACTGCGTATAACTCTCAGGGTTATACGCAGTCGGCTGCGCATAACCACTTCGATTGATAAACCTTATTTGGCTAAATTCCTAGCCGACTGCGTATAACCCTGAGAGTTATACGCAGTCGGCTGTGAATAACCCTCAGGGTTATGGGCAGTCGACTGCGTATAACTCTCAGGGTTATGCGCAACGGACTGCGTATAACTATAACGCTTCCCATTAAATATTTCAATAATTGTTAGACTAAACTCACCCGCGACAAGGTAGAAGATAGAGTTAAAACCTCAGTCTTCAGTAAAAATGTTCTTACTTTATAATAAATACTTTTTTTATTTATTGGCTTATAAACTTATAAATAGCCTATACTGTATTGTATGTAGTATAAGTATACTGTGGTCCTGGTAAGAGTTAGTAACTGTAGCACTGTAGCTGTAGCCAGTGTATGGTGAATAAAATAAATAAAACTAAAACAGACTTAATCTCCAGGATGAAGTTGTAAGGCTATAAGGCCTTAGTTAGTATACTATACCTCAGGCTTTGGAGAGGAGGAGTAGCTTTAACTTAATTTTAAACTTTAAAAAGGTTAGTTAGTAGTAGTATTAGTCATTAGTATTAGTATTAGTAGTTAACATTAACATCATAAAATAATTAAAACTTTGTACTTACATGTGAATAAATTGATGGAAGATCTTTTTGAAAAACCCATTACTGTCTTTTTACATTCCACTGCCTGCAAAAACAAAGCATTAGGAGTTTGATGATAGGAGTATCAAGTAACCATAAATGTAAACTGCAATAACATTATCATCATTATCATGTTGGGAATATGATTAAGAAGTTAAGAGAGTTCAGCCATAAATATACACCAACAGCGACATCTATCAAAAAAAGTTATTTCCCTCGTTCATAAAATATGGATAAGCTTTTAAGAAGAAATTTATTGAACTATAAATAATAAAACAAATTTTAATGATTAATGTTTAATTATTACTGTTTTTAATATATTATTATATTTATAAATGAAAGAAAACAAGTTCAAACATTTAATCTTCAACGAAAAAAAGTCAAATTCAAGCACTTTGCCTTAAATTTTATACATCATGGTCTTAAAATAGATCAGTCATCAAAACTTCCGGAAATCTTCACAACAAAACAGCATAGGCTTCAACACTGACATTTTTTACACAATAATAACAATACGTGATACATAAGCCCAAATAATATTAAGATAACTTCACATAAATGGAAATGCCTACCGCCAGCAATGATTGCGATTTCATTGCACAACATGAGAAAAGATTATCTTTCAAGGAACGAAGAACATTTTGTAAGTATTAATTTAATAGTAATACTAATTCAGACTTTAAAAATTTTAAATTTATGCTTTTGTCTAAAGTTTAGACTTGACTTAAGTTTAAATTTACATTACTTTAGGCTTAAGGCAAGGCCTACATTTTTTAGGCTTCTGATTAAAAAAGAAATAAATAAAAGTAGCCTAGCCTAATAATTGATGCGAATAAATACTAAAACCTAAACTAAACTTAACCCTAGTCTAACCCTCAACTAAAAAGATGCGTGCTATTACTACTACTACTTACACACTGACACTGGTAAAAAAAACTGTAACGTCCTAGTAGTAAGTAGGTTCCAGTTTAATGTTGGAGTTGGATGTTATTACCCATTAGGCATTAGGATCCTGTTCCTCGGTGGGATGACATGTTTCTTGTGGAATTTTGTTCCCGTTAGGATATCAAAGGGCCGAAGGGTACGTTTAGACTTAGAGTTAGAGAAAATCCCCATGATTCTGGAACATTCTAGATTAAATTTACTATCCTCCTCGAAACATGTAAAAATGACTTTTCTACGTAATTATTTTTCAAATACAAAATATTATGCAACTACACTATGGTAATAAGGGGAGAGACTGCAATCAGTTTAGCAAAATAGGAAATGAGTAAATTAAAGTTAAGTCCATGGGTGCCACTTTTCTGGGTTATCCCGGAAATATGGATTCGTGAGGCTAAATATTTTTCAGCTCCGGATTCGCAAGATTTTATATTCTCTCGCTCCGGATTCGCCAGATCAATTTATTCTAATACGGATTCTGTCTGTTTTTTTGTTTTTTTAAAAATCAATGTGTTATAGATTGCGCGAAAGCCTATTTAAATTTAGCGAGATTGGGAAACTGGGAAAATTCCATGAAAATCGCTGATCTTGTCTATTTTTAGCCTTTCTGTTGCCAGAGTGTTAGTGGTTTCCCCTTAACCGGGCATTCGTTTTGAGCTCTACTAGTTTCAAATACCGTACTACTTCGATAGACCAGAAGTATTTCTTTTCTGATTTTCTGTTCACATCGCCGATCAAGAGATGTTTGAAGTGTTTGGGTAAGTAAAGTGTAAAATTTAGTAAATAATTTTTGTGAATTTAGTTTTCAATTGTTTATAAATAGAAAACTACACGTCTAATCGCCGTCTAATAAGACTAAGCCTAGTGTACTTTGTTATGTTTTAATGTATGCAGGCCACATGTATTTTTTTTTATTAGAGCTAGGCAGCATTTATTTTTGTACAGACTTCTTAAGTTCACTTTACATTTAATTATAGAGTAAGCCTTGTAAATTAAATAGAACAATATGATTAAGTTATTTTTATCCCTCCAGTAGTGAGGCTAACATAACTGTATTTAGTTAGTCTTCATTTATATTTATCTAGGCCTACTTTTGTGCTCTGACTCTGGGTACACCTTACGGAAATTTTACTATTAATCATAATGATTGATATTCATAATGCTCTGTATTACCGTAGTTTAGTGCTGGTATAATATAGTCTATATTATCTATGCTTTACTATAAATCTAATATGGTAATATATTTTATTTTGTTTCACTATTCAGGATATAGGCTCAATAAAATAATGCCCAACAGTTCCTTTAAAGAACTGATGGGCATTACAGCAATCATGATTGAACAAGTCATCACTGCTATGCTGGAAATATTTATATCAAGTATTCTAGGGGAAAATATTTAAAAAGTCAATCATCTGATGAGACCAGCTTTATCACCTGTCTTAGGTGTCCACTTCTGCAACTTCTCAATTTATGTGTCAAACTAGGAAACTCTCACACTAAGAGATTTTTTAGACACTAAAGTGTGTTGACTCAAACTATCCATTTCATCATAAAGAAGAGAACATGAACTCCATATAAGAACAGATTCTTTCCACTTGTGGTAGCTATATGTTTGTTCTAAAATGACCAAATAACACATTGCAAAAGTTGCCTTTTCAAGTCTAAGTAAATTGAAAAATTGCAATTGCTAGGAAACATAATAAATATTTACATGTATACACCGTAATAGCTTCATTTTTTTTTCATTTATGATGTATTTCAATGTTGTTTTTGCTTTTACAATTTCATGGTTGTTTTTATATTAATCAACAAAAGCGCTGCATTGCGATGGTCAGGAATTTTTAGTTTAATTAAGTTTCAGGGTTTGAAAAATGTGTAAATGAAGTTTCAGGTTTCAAGAAATTTTTAGTAAGGGATTTCAGGTTTCACAGCTTTCAGTGAGTGGCACCCCTGGTAAGGTCAAACCTGAAAAAAGAAACGCAACAAAGCCACAGATGTGTTGGTAGGAAGCCTTAGTCAACGAACAAACAACAGAAAAAAACAGAATAAAATAAAAAAATAGCACTTAGTTGAGAAGTAGTATCTGAAGGGCAGCAAAAGAATTGTGCACAAATGCACTACTATAACTTATGGTCATTTAAGTTGAAAGAGGGGCCTGGGCGGGGCCATATTCCATAATTGTACCGATTTAATTTTGCCTGAGATAGGGGGCCCTATAAAATTCAGGCAGATAAATACTAAAGTTAAAATTTAAAATTTGACCCATTAAAATCAGTTTTAAAAATGGCATACAAAAGCTTTAAAAAATTATAGAACTTCCTGGAAAATTCTAGACCTGCCATGAATGGATTGGATATTAATCAAAATGGACAATGAAGAGTATTGCTACAAAGTAAGGCCTAGATCCCTCAGTTCACTTAGATCCTATAGTGTTGTCTAAGGGGTCGTTTGCAAATGCGTCATGCACAGGGGGGGGGGGGGTCAAGAATTGGGGGAGGGGGATTAAAAAATTTGACACATCATTTTTTTGTTTTAAATCTAAAATTTTCTAATTTTGAAAAAATTTTTATTCAGTTGATTTTAAAAACTTTCATTAAACTTTAAATTTGAGGTAAAAATTGCCTCAGGTATTATAGGTAACGTGAACTTCAGTCGCTGACAGCTATTGCACAAAAACTGTTGTGGCCATAATACATTCTGGGCGGGGATGAATTCCTTGTTTCGCGTAACAGATTTTTAATGATGCTACATCTTAATCCAGCGGTTCTCAACCTGTTGGTCGCGACCCCTTGGGGGTCGCATGACCCTTTCACAGGGGTCGTCTAAGACCATCTGAAAACACATATTCCCCACAGTTGTAAAGTATTAACGAAAATAATTTTGTGGTTGGGGGTCGCCACAACATGAGAAAATGTATTAAAGGGTCGCAGCATTAGAAAGGTTGAGAATCACTGTCTTAATCCATTATGGGAAAATGTTAAAGAATAAAATAAAATCTTAGCTCAGTTATGAAAATTTTATGTATGTTTTGATTTTTATTTTGATGTGACGTGACACCTTTATATTATTACAATGATTTTTATCATACGCCTTGTGCATGGTATGGAAAATGTGTGTACAAGCACCAGAAAACAGAGTGGATCCCCGTTGTGCAATCCAGGTAAAATCTGGACATGTAACTGTACTTGCAGTGACAAGACTGGGAGAATGCCATCGGCAAACTTGTTCATTAATATATTTATTGCAGAATTCACCTCTGCAAGGGCAAAGTGATCTCAGATTTTGTTCCAAGCACATGCACATCTATTTTTGGAAACTACCTCATATTGCAGAAAAAAAAAACAGTCTTAACCGTTTTTTTTTTTTTTTTTACATCAATTAGCTGAACCTTATACATGGGGGTTGATACACTGTACAGTAAAGCAGTGCTCCTTAATGTGGGACACAACATATTTTTTTGGGGCCATGAAAACTTTAAAAAAAAACAACAGACTTTAAGTATATAAAAATAAGCAGTTTTTTTTCAATGTTAGTAATAGAGAAAAAGGAGAGGGGTGGTGGTCATGGAGTCAAATAAAAGTGGGCCTCAAGCAATAATGCACCATATGTGTACAGCTATAAAGTAAGAATATTTTATTTTCTTTGGACTGACGTCTTTAGTGCCAAATTTCCATGGCTTGGTAGTTGTATCCACAAATTTGTTCTCTAAAAAACCCCTGGTTCCCAGTAGTTGAGGGAATTAGTGCACTACTGCAGTGTCCTCTAGTGGATATACAATATATAAGCCATGTGCCTATTAATTTAGTTATTTTTAAATAAAAATAAATTAAGTTGGCCTACCAGCTGAAATAGCCTTAGCCATTTTTATTTAAAGTACAGTCGAACCTGGTTACGTTGATGGCCTCTGGGTTTGCCAAAAAGCGTCGAGGTAACCGATTAGTGAGATAACCAAAAACAAATATGGCGGCAGTATATTAACATGTGCGTGAAAATTCTTTATGAACACGATGTGTAATTATAAATGAGAACGTACATGCACAGGTTTTTGGAGTTTTTTTTTCACACAACAGCGTTACCGCGACTTGTTTGATGAAGCGATCGGCATGCTATACAAATGTACATACATGTTGGTGTCACCCAGTGTGGTAAACTCATGGTGTCACCCAGTGTGGTAAATTCATGGTGTCACCCAGTGTGGTAAACTCATGGTGTCACCCAGTGTGGTAAACTCATGGTGTCACCCAGTGTGGTAAACTCATGGTGTCACCCAGTCTGGTAAACTCATGGTGTCACCCAGTATGATAAACTCATGGTGTCACCCTCTCCAAACTTCCCCATAGACCTACTCAGACTTGTGGGGATATTAAGTTCAACTTGATAAAGAATGATAAAGCAATAATAAAATGATGCTTTTCATTATTTTTATCTTACATTTACATTTGTGGCTTAATCATGTCAAAGCAATTATGAGATTGGTTCTGTAATTTTTTTGTGAAAAACTGAAAAGACTTGCGTTTCCTTGTTTACTGTAAAATCTCACCTAAAATATACACGCTTGAACTTAGTCAAAAACTAAACAAAAAGTGTTGTGTGTTCTGTTTTCAGGTTATATACTCGTCCAAGGCTATGGTTAATAATCTACCCACACGTCATGTATATGCTATTTGTACATATATTTTAATAGTACCTGAGCAATTAAATTTATTTTTTTTATTGTGTCTTCAAGAAAAAATGCATAATTTAAGTATCACAGAATTGTTTCCATATGCTACAAGGAAACTACTACAGCATCAAACACAACAATCAATGGAGTCTCCACAAGAAGCATATCAGTCACAAGAAGCATATCAGTCACAAGAAGCATATCAGTCACAAGAAGTAAAGCAGTCACAAGAAGTAAATCAGACTGCAGTAAAGGCTCGAAGGGCTGACATTGTTATTTGCATCTGTCGGTTCAAAGCATCTCTAAAAGCAAATGAGACCCCTGAAGATGCAACCAGATCACGACAATGTGAAGCAGTGTGAAGACAAGCCAGACGCCAGTCACAACAAGCAAATCTGTCTGCAGGAGAGTGTCAAGCTCAGTGAGCAGTAGTGGCCTTTTACATGCATCAGTTTACAGCTTTTCAAAGAGCAAGTGAGACCCCAGAGGAAACAAGATGACAACTACATGAGGCGGCACTAAGACAGCATCAGTCACATTGAGAAAATCAATCTACAAAAGAGCAAGAAGCTCATCGTGTGCTGCTGAGGCAATTTGCACAAAATAATTTAAAACAAGCATAAGAAAGTGAATCTGGACGTACTGCAGAAGGGTTTTTCCATGCACCAGCTTAAAGCATCACAACAAGTTCATAAATAAGACTTGGGAAGAAGCGACAGATTGCACAGCAGAAGCTATACAACAGGTAATGCAATCAACAGCTGAACGACAGATTGCACAGCAGACGCTATACAACAGGCAATGCAATCAACAGCTGAACGTTGTCTGACCATTCTAAATCAGAAATTCTTTATTTGAGAATGCAGTTGATGTGCTGAACTGCAGTTCAACAGATTGGTAATGCAGTTGATGTGCTGAACTGCAGTCCAACAGATTGGGAATGCAGTTGATGTGCTGAACTGCAGTCCAACAGATTGGGAATGTAGTTGATGTGCTGAACTGTAGCCCAACAGATTGGGAATGCCAGTTCTGTAACCTTAAAGGTACAGTGCTATTGGGAAAAAAAATCTTCTCAATTGATTTAGATTCTTTCATGCACTTGTTTCCATCCAATCAAGCTATCCATTCAGGGCATTCAATCAGGACATTCAATCAGGAAATTCAAACAGGCTGTCATTGTAAGCTATCCAATCAGGAAAGTGGAATAAAACAGTAAATTTACTAGTGCACAGGCGTACAGTTGCCATCTCTCTCTTTGACTTCATTGTATGTCTGATGATAAACAGCTAAATATTTAAAAGATGCACCACGTATTGTGGATACTGTAAATGGGGAATAGTATGCTGGTTGAGGGGCAAAATTGTGAGAGTATGATAAACACATAAGGTTTCAATTTACTTTTTACATTTACAGCAATTTCTTTTATACTGAGGTGCACAAATTGTACCTGTGATTTAGGGTATATCTGGCCATTTTTTTAATGCTAAATTGGCTAGTCAATCTGGAGTTTTGTATTTTATTAAATTTCATGGTTTTGATAGCTGTAATTTTAGGGTAATATGTTTGAGTACAAGAGTATTTTAAAAGTAGATTTGATGATATCTTTCCTTCCCTTAATTTATGTCACATGTCTTGTTATTAATATCTTCCGGCAAAACTCTCAGTAATACCATAAGGAAACCGCCTCCTCCCCCAAATTAATCACCCCACCTCTTGAAAAAGAAACAAAATAAACGTCCTTTTAAAAATTTCTTTTTCATGCTCTGCTTTAGTTATTTTACAAAAAATGTAATCTTTTATTTTTATTTCCAGCTGAAAGGCGAAAAGATGTGGAGTCAGTGAGAAATGCTCATCCCAATAAGATTCCTGTATGTTTGTTTCCTTTTTAAAATTTATTTTGTTTTTAATGGATTTTCATAGATTTTGTATGCATCATATATTTTGAGACTAAATGTTGAATTTCACTTTTACTCAATAAGGAAGTATTATATTCATCAACTATGTTTGGCTTTCCAAAAACAATTGATGCCCATATATACACTTCCTGAAACAGCTAAAAGTAAATTTCATTAAATTATTTTAAAATCTCTCAAAAATATTACTCCCAGTAAGTCTAAAAATGGTATTTGAGCAGGTAATATAATCTTGAACAATAGAATATGCTGTTAAATTTTGATTCAGTTAAATAAATTTATTGTACTTTTATGTTATATTTTCTTTAAAAATTCTTTTCAGAATAGCGTTTAAAAAGCCAATTATTTGGTGAAAATGTGCAAGCATTTTTTATTGTGAGCATGTAAGAACTTGGTGGTTAAACAAGGACACCTTTGGCCATGAGTTAGAGTTAAAATCAATTTTCTTTCGCTGTAATGGAATATAATTTATCTTTCCGCTTAAAAAACAACGCAGGTCATTATCGAGCGATACGGCAACGAGAAAAGTCTTCCAATAATGGACAAATGCAAATTTCTCATACCAGACAACCTCAATGTGAGCGACATTGTGAAAATCATCAGGTAAGAAGTGAAACTGGGTCAAAGTTCTTTGAAGCCTGAACTGGGTGGAGATTATCAGTGCATCTCTTATGGGCATTCCACATGTTATGTGCCCTAGATCGATATAGCCCAGTGCAATGAAGACAACTGGATACTTTTAATGTGACCATAACCACGTGATCATTACTGTTCTTAAGGATGTGATCATTACTGTTCTTAAGGATGTGATCATTACTGTTTATAAGGATGTGATCATTACTGTTCATAAGGATGTGATCATTACTGTTCTTAAGGATGTGATCATTACTGTTCATAAGGATGTGATCATTACTGTTCTTAAGGATGTGATCATTACTGTTCATAAGGATGTGATCATTACTGTTCTTAAGGATTTGATCATTACTGTTCATAAGGATGTGATCATTACTATTCATAAGGATGTGATCATTACTATTCATAAGGATGTGATCATTACTGTTCTTAAGGATGTGATCATTACTGTTCATAAGGATGTGATCATTACTGTTCATAAGGATTTGATCATTACTGTTCTACAATGTAATTACTGTTCTACAATGTCATGACTGTTCTATGATGTCATTACAGTTCTATGATGTCATTAAGATTCTATGATGTCATGACTGTTCTACTATGTCATTACTGTTCTACGATGTCATTACTGTTCTACGGTGTCATTACTGTTCTACGGTGTCATTACTGTTCTATGATGTCAATACTGTTCTAAGAGGTCATGACTGTTCTACGATGTCATTACTGTTCTATAATGTCAATACTGTTCTACGATGTTGTTACTGCTCTACGATGTCATTACTGTTCTACCATGTCATTACTGCTCTACGATGTCATTACTGTTCTATGATGTCATTACTGTTCTACGATGTCAATACTGTTCTACGATGTCAATACTGTTCTACGATGTCATTATTCTTCTACGATGTCATTACTGTTCTATGATGTCATTACTGTTCTACGATGTCAATACTGTTCTACGATGTCATTACTGTTCTACCATGTCATCACTGTTTGAAGTGTATTAACATTGGTGCTCCCAGATGCATCTAATTCTATATTGTATTGAAACATAGTAAAACACAAACATTTTACAAAAGAATTTCTTTGTTCCATGGAGTCAAAATAAACCTGTCTAGAAACATAATGTCAAACAAAAAAACACACAACCTGTCTGTTTCAATTTTTTCAAAGTCATTGTTAAGTCTTTTCCTTATATCTGCTTCCATCTCATTAAAAAAACTAGATAACTCGAGCATTCAAAAAACTGCTTAAGCTTGTCTTTTTTATAGAGGTTTAAGCTTTCATTTTGTCAGAGATGAATTTGAATAAAATGTATGCAAGTATAGAATTCAGAATTTATATGGAAAACACATGAATACAAAATTTTGGTATGTTGATTCCTTACAGAATAAACCAAAGTCACAATTTTACATAGCTACATTGTCTTTTCCTGTTTGGTTTTCATATTGTACTTCTACACCCTTTCTCGTCATTCTTCTGATCTTTGGTTAAGTTAGGAACTTGTGCCCATTGTTATTCTTTTCTTTCCATTTTTTAGCTACGGTAAGATACACCTTTTTTGTCAATTAAATTCATAAATATATTCATGTTTTTTGTGTGAATTTGTTTGAATCTGTAAATTGTTTAATGATAATGAAAGCGTAACATAGATTATTAATTGAAAAAACATCGTTTGTGTCTCATTAATCTTGTTTTGTTATTCAAACTTCCACAAATCTTATTCCAAATATTTCTTTCAAAAGCTTTTATGGCATTCCCTTATATCATTCTGTATCTCCCAACTGACACTTGTACAAAAAAATTTGCCTTACCAGTAGTGGTTGAAATTCATTTTTAACCAATATAATATCCAGCACATGTATCAGCGTTGTAGTATGTTACATTATGGGTTGTGACCAAAAAACAACTTGTTTTAGATGTATCTCTTATCTGCTGGATAGAGGAAGAAAATACCCAGCTTACGTTTGTCTTTTTATAAAGCTTCCATTTTTTCAAAGCTGAATTTAATGTAGCTACATGACAAATTAAGTAAAAAATATTCTTCTAAGATATGGTAAGCTTTTCAATGGTTTGAAATTTTTCAATCTGGTTCCAGGCGCAGACTCCAGCTGTCCCCATCCCAAGCATTTTTCCTCCTTGTCAACAATCGGAGTATGGTCAGCAACACAACACCTCTGATTGATGTGTACGAGCGGGACAAGGATGAGGATGGATTTCTTTACATTGTGTATGCATCGCAAGAAACCTTTGGGGCCGACTGAAAGAATCTGGGGAGACGAGTTAAATTCCAGGGGTATCCAGCGGGTGACAGACTGAGATGGTCTATTTTGAAGGTCATGTGATGTTTCACCTTATGTGTATGGTTTGGTCTTAAATTAAATATGATTGTGTTGAGAGAACTATGTTTGAAATAAAAAACTATTAAAATTAATAACCCCCCAAAAAATTCTTAGTTTTCATATACATGGCCATTATAAGAAACTTTCTAGTGTATGAGCCAAATTTCTGTCGTATATTGAAGCCAGGGTTGCCACTCATTGATTTAGCAACCTTTTCCATTGTCTGAATGAATTCAATTAAATGATAAGGATTTATGGATATATATGCAATATGTTCAAATGTTATCATTAGAAAATCTGACTTCATATGCAGCTTTCTCTTAACCTTGCTGATTTCCCACACATTTTGACACATGCTCATTATAACATAGCAGTTGTTGAACTGGAAGTGAGGTGAGAACAGATAAAAGATCATTAAATATCAATCGAATTTTAAATATAATATAATTTTCTTCTGCCATTTAAAAAAATATGAAACAAATGTAAAAAATGATGTCCAATTACTTTGGATCATGGTAATGATGCACTTGATTTATTGACCTCAAATTTTAAACTGATATTTGTTAGTTTTAAAGTTGATTGGTTTTCATCTTTATTTATTATTTCTTTGCATCTGTCAATTATAATTGACACAAAAGTTGTCCATATTTTTTCTAAGTGTAATCTTTAGTTTATGGGTGACTTAGAGGCACATTGTTGTATTTGATTGAGACCATTTACTGAGATCAATTTGTTTAATCGCCAAATCCGTGCATATTCCCCCAATCAATGCATAGCCCCCCACAAGGTTTTTTCCTTAAGACAACTGTATAGTATTAATAGTAAAACATTAGTGTTAGAGCCATACACACCATTTGGATTTTTTAAGGAGATATATTAAAAAAAGTTGTTTTTCAAATGTTATTTATTGTTTTACATTAATTATTGTTATATGTATTTAATAAAATATTACTGTAAAAAAATAAATATATTTTAAAAGGTAATTAAAAACCCATTGCAATATTTTCCATCTTTTGACTTTTAACATTGAAAAAATTATATATAAGAATAACATGTCAAAGAGTACTGACTGGGAGGGCATCAATAAAATTTAGGTTAGGAACCACTGTTCTAGGAAATCAAATACTAAGAAAAATTACGGTTTTAGATTTGAAAACCTTAGACTTCTATTAATGTAACTTTGTAGTTGTGTTGTTTTTTTTTTTCTTCTTTTTTTTCTTGCTTTGAGAATTTTTTTTTAACTTTTAAAACTGATATTACGGTATATGATTTCTCTTCTCATTCTTAAATTTTAATTACAGAGAGAGAGTAAAGACTATTTTAGTACAGCTCATTAAGCAGATCTTTTGACTCTTACGATTTTGGCATACAAAGTAAGATTTGGAGATGTCTTTTTTTGATTGTTTGCAGAAACTTGTCAGAACTACAATTTTACGGGACGGGTTAAGAAAAAATATTCTGGTGGTTTTTACGATTCAAAAATAAAGATTTTGGTTGTAAGTTTTAGCTCCTTTTTACATGTGGAGGTGGATGGACAGAGAAATACAGTTGGCAGGAGACATCCTTAATTATATTACGTACACTAAGATGGAGAAGGGGGTGTTGTTGACTTATATAAATTATAAACTATCAAATAACAGCATCATGTTTCATAATGTCAAATAGTTGCTGGAACTGGCTAGATATGGCAACAGTAATGTTAGTGTAGTCAAATGGTTGCTTTGTGTTGTCACAATGAACTCGCTAGATACAGCAACAGTAAGGGACATTTTCACAGTGGAGTTAAGACTTTGATTTTTCTTTCATGACAGTTCATTTCTCCCTAGTTAAGCCATCTTACATCCTTAACATTTGACTACTAATGCATTAATATCAGCTAATATAAAGTGTTTTGTTTCATTGTTTCATTATCTTCCACTCAGAGAGAAAATAAATGGCAACATTTGATAAGTTAATGACATCTATGCTTTTAAAAATGACTCAGCAGTTTGACATCTATGCTTTAAACACTGACTGAGCAGTTTGACATCTATGCTTTTAACAATGACTCAGCAGTTTGACATCTATGCTTTTAACAATGACTCAGCAGTTTGACATCTATGCTTTAAACACTGACTGAGAAGTTTGACATCTATGCTGTTAACAATGAATGAGCAGTTTGACATCTATGCTGTTAACAATGACAACAGATTGACATCTTATGCTGTTAACAATGACAGAGCAGTTGACATCTATGCTTTTAACAATGACTGAACAGTTTGACATCTATGCTGTTAACAATGACTGAGCAGTTTGACATCGATGCTTTTAACAATGACTGAAAAAGTTTGACATCTATTGTTACATGTCTTTTGTTTCCAATTTATTATAAGTTCGCCAGCTTTTTCTCTGTCAGTTTACATGCATTTCTCAAATCCTTGGTGAACAAGCGTCATCAACAATTCTTGACATCTTCTCACCCCCCTGAAGTTACTTCTTTGTTTTCTAACATACGTTGGATTTGTTAATCGCATATTTATTTTTTTTCTTAAATAGTCTCTCAAACCCCCCCCCCCCCCATGGCCTCCACAGATTTCCTTGTAAGTCCACATTTATTTAATCTTCAATTGCTAAAACACCTGCATCACAATAGTGAGCATCAGAGCGGTTCATTTTCTCCTCAAAATTCTATGCAGTTGTTCCAAGTTTTATTTCAGAGCCTTGCTTGTAAATTGTTGTTAAGCTGAAATTTTATCACTTCCATCATATTAAAAATCATATTTATAATTTATATAATTTTATTTATTTTTACGAGTTGGGTTTTTTTTGTGGTGCTTTTGTTGGTAGATTTGGCTGAAAATTGTAATTCCTTTACTTTAATTCTTTTACTACAAGCATTTTGAGAATGTTGACATCAGAGCCTTGATAGGTCAGAAACATACTTTATGTTTAAGCTTAATAACCAAACTTTTCAATGAAATAATGTGGTGGTCTCTTTCAAGTGTTGGCATCGCTAAATTTATGACCAGTATTACTTAAAGAAAGTATTGACCAGAATTTGTCAGGTTTGAAAGGGTTAATATCATGTAAAGGATTTCCATAAACTATAAAAGAAATGATAAGGTCTTTTAAAAAAAAAATCTGATTAAAAGCAAACAGGAGCCCATCTCCTTTAAAACATGGGATTGTATCCAGTGAGTCATCTTTGGTCTAATGAATGGGTGGGTCAGTTATTTATTGGCTGATATATTATGATTACAAATATAGGTCATTAGGTTCGATTCTAGCTTTTATCAAGACTTGGAAACATTAAGGGGGTGCTTTTTGATCATTTGAAGTGTCTAATATCTGGATAGTGGGCTGGGGGCTGCACAATTATAATCAATGTGCTTTTTGATCATTTGAAGTGTCTAATATCTGGATAGTGGGCTGGGGGCTGCACAATTATAATCAATGTGCTTTTTAATTTTTTTAGTCCAGCGGGTACATAGATAGCTTGGGTCTTTTAAGTTAAATCACAATCTCTTATTTTATCATCGTCCCATATTAAACACTGAATAAACAGACTAATCAAGACTAATGAAGAAAGCTAGGAACATAACACAAACTAAACATCCTTCACTTGAAGAGCTGTTTGAATAAAGATGTTATTGTAAAACTAAACAAATTTTGGATGATACATCCCACCCTCTTCATCACAGATACTTAGGATCAGCCCGTTGCGGGACAAGTTCTTTCTCTCAGGGTGAGGACTGAAAGATATAAAAAAAATTGTATTCCCCAAACTGTACGAATTTACGAGCATGCTCCCCCAGAAGTTACAAATCTAAATGAGAACTAATAAGTCCCTGAAATGACTAAAAGAATTCACTAAACGGCTTTTTTTTTTCACTAGTGAAATAATTTGACGTAGTAGTCTTGTGTTCAAATTGTTGTACTTATGTGCTGAAAATGTACAATGCATCTTATCTTCTCTTATCTTATCCCAGGGTGTCAGGAACACTTTTTAGAGTGAGGAGGGATTTTTTATAACTTATAACTGAATTAAATGCTTAGAAATATTTTGGGCGTTGCAGGGGGCTGAACCACAGGCTTAGGGGAGCAGGCTTTGAATTATGAATTATGAAATAAACAAATTAAAAGCAAAAGTTTTAAATTGTTCAATTTCGATCGATTAAAAAAGTTGCAGGTGTTTGTTCATATTTGGTTTTTAATATTATGTTAATCATTTTGTAATGTCTCTGTACTAAATATAGATCTTATCAAAATATTTCTTGTAAAATTAATGTCATTTGGTCTTTAAGACAAGGACATTATCCAATATACAGGTATATAAATGATATTGAAAGCCAACTGACCAATCCACATACAGCAATTTAAAAGATACATTTTCAAATCAATTCCTATTTGTAGATAGGACCAAAGAAATTTAAAGAAGGAGAATTTTTTTTTAGAAAGCGAACTAAAAGATTAGCCATGCTTTTTTTTTTTTCATGTTTGTATTTAAATGATATAAAATAATTATACTTTTAGAGGCAATTAATTATAATAGTTTATTATAGCCAGTCAGTGCTTTCTAGTCCCAACTAAATAGATCTACAAATGAGATATGCTCTACAAATGAGATATGCTATATTAACTTTGGCCCTTAATGCAAATGGCAACATTTAATTTATTCATAAAGATCTTCTTCTTCTATATATTAAAGGGCCCACGATCAATTTATTGATCATTTTGGCTCCTATGCATGTAGAGGGGATTTGCAATGTTTCTGTGCCTGGTGTTGATGAGGATCTTTCACTGGTTGCAAGGGCTGCTTGGTAATGGTATCATGCACTGGGGGTTGGAGGGCCTGAGGCAATAGACGCAATGCGTTAAGTGTTGTTGCCTCAACTTTTACTTTTGAAAGCTTGTTCCAGTCCCTGATTGTCTTTGGCAGGAATGAGCAGCTTCTATACTGGCTTCGCGCTGGTATGAGCCAGAAATGCCTGTCATGGCCTCGAGGCTGTCTATGGGGGAGAGGGACGAGTTTCTGTTTAATGCTGGAGCAGTGGATCAGCCCATTATTTATCTCGTACATCATGGAGAGCCTGGATAGTTGTCGTTCCTCCAATGGTGACCAGCCTAGTTTTTCCAGTATACTGCCCACACTAGAGGTATTCCTGTGCTGGTTCAGGACAAAGCGTGCTGCCCGTCGCTGGACGGCCTCCAACCTGTTGATGCTCTTCTGGGTAAATGGGTCCCAGACTGAAGATGCATAATCTAAAAAGCCGACGGACTAAGGCTTTATATAGGCTCTTTCTTTCTCACTGGAGTTGTCAATCTTTTGATTACGCCTTAAGAACCCCAGGGTCTTGTTTGCCTGATTGCACACATTGTTAATATGCTCGTCTCAGTGGACCTCTCTTTGAATGGTAACACCTAGGTACTTTACGGAGGAAACTGGCTCAAGTATATTGACATGCAGTTCGTATTTTATAGTGTAGAGGAGTACATCTTATAGAGACTGACCGTGTCTGGCACATGGCAGGATGAAATTCCATGTCCAACCTCATCTCCCGCTCACTTAACCGAATGAGATCCTGTTGTAGCTGGTCCTGGTCAGATCTGTTGGCGATCGTCCTATAAAACACCCCAGTGTCATCTGCGAACAGTCTTGCTTGGGATGTCAGTTTCTCGGGTTGGTCATTAATGCATGCTAGAAACAAGCAGATGTTTATATTCATATAGTTTGACTAATTTCGGTAAAGGTTGGCTAGAGCAAAAGCCATTTCATGTTGAAAAAAAATAATTCAATGATCAAAATAAGAAAAAAATATTTGAAAATAAATAAACCGAAACAGTTTAAAAAAAAAAAAATGTTTTATTCAAATTCGGCCGTGCCCAAATTTGTACAGATGAAAATGAACAGACAGGTAACAGGTAACTATCACATTCAGTCAAATGTTGGCATTTCAGATGGATGGGTCTGCGTTATTATTTATAAGAAAAAACACCTCCACTGGTCACCACCAGATAACAAAAGTAGACTAAATTATAAAATATTTCACTCATGGTTTTCACAGGCAAAAAATTGACACTTTTGATTTACTTTATTCATAAATTATTTCACGGTCGTGACCCCAAAAATGTGTTTTTTTAATAGATTTTTCTAAAAGTAGAATGCAAAAGATCTCACCCTCAGAAGAGATACTTTGATTAACCAAAGGAATGTAGTTAAAATATCAATAAATATATATAAATAGAGGGGTCAGGCACAACAAATAATATAAAATTTTAGGAATATGTCAGAAAAGGAAATTTGTAAAGAATGTGAATGATCTTTTGCTAAAAAATACATATGAATTGAAAGGGTCTGGGCTGGTATTTTAATGTAATAGTAATATTACATAAGGCCAATATGAAGTGTTGAGGGGGTGGAATTTTTTTTTTTTGGGGGGGGGGGGGATACTTTTGATAAAACAAGTATTTTGATAACAACATCATGAAAAACAAAATATTGAAATAATTTCAAACTTCTTTTGTGGGATGTGCCCGTATGAAACATGCATTCGTAATACGAACACGCAACATGAAATATTTGAGCCTTGGCTTCAATAACAAGTGTGGAGAAAGCGCAAAGTAACGGAATGTAAATAGTGTTCAGAGTCAAGGTAAATGAATTGAACGTTGTATTTAGCGATGCGTAGGAAAGTTGTTTTTTTAGAGTATTTAACCAAACGCGAAAGAGGACTATTTTGTGGTTAATTATGTGAATGTACGTCATGGTTATGTTGAACAAATGCAATCTTATTGTAACGCAGTGGATTTTTTGATACTACACTGTTGATATGTTTTGATGCATTACAGGATTGGTCCTCAATGTCCAGGCAAACACAAAAATAAAAACCTTTATAAAAATAAATAAGATTGATTTATACATGTCAACGTCAAAAGCTTACAACACACCTGGCAACCTTTCAGGCCACACCAGTGTTCCCCTACACACAGGTTGAAAACAGCTGGTGTAATTCAATTTTTACTTAATATGCTGCAACCCACTATGCCAGTCAATCATATCAAACATAAATCTTAATACCGGTAATGTAAAAATATGAGATGAAAAAATCTTTTAATTAATGAAAGTATTCAATCAAATAAATAAAATAGGAATAAAGAAAAAGTGCATGTCATGGATCAATGTTTTGGTCCATATATTTGTCCTGACCAACATTTATTACAATTTGAAATCAAAAGATCTGACATGAAATAATACTAAAAAAGTGCTAGTATTTACAATCTCATTTTCAAATTCAAATCACCATTCAAAGTAATGTCTTCTTTCATCTGGCTCTGTGGCTACTGAAGCTTGAATGTTTTAAACAAAAATAAAAATATAATTTACATACATACAGTTAAGTTATTTTAACCTTATCTTGTGTCTGTCATTTAAATTATAATAATAATAATAAAGATTATTTGAAAATCACGCTTCAAACCCAAAGGCTCGAAGCGCGGTACATACGGCACTGAAGTACAAAATTATAAATGATTAGTGATGTCTTTTTTTAGATTGAGCAATTTAAACTGAAGGAGATAAAGATAAGTTGATGAATTTGGTTGGTGAGGAAATTGAAAACATATGGATTTGATTAAAATATCTGTATTGAAACACCATCACCGTAATCTGCTTGTTTAAAAAAAAGGGTTGGGGGGGGGGGATTTCTTTCTCCTTTTGGCAAAATATGACCAAATAATCACACACTGAAAGAAAAAAGTCATGCTTAAATCAGGACTCGCCCAAAAAAACATGGATCTGTAATTTCCCATTTCTTCAACGGTGCAAAATTTGAGATTATAGATTACTTTTTATCAACAAGATTTTTTTAGTTCTGCCCAAATAAGCTTTAAAATCAATCTCCATGTCCAGCTGTTTGTTTAGACTGAATTTAATATTAACTGCCAAGTTGAACAAAGTGTTTAGACTGGATGTAATGTTAATAAGCAAGTTGAACGAAGTGTTTGAGCTGGACGTAATGTTAACAGCCAAGTTGAACAAATAATAAATAATAATAATAAAGTTTATTTGAAAAAGACGCTTCATCCCCAAAAGCTCGAAGCGTGGTACAAAGTCAACCATATTAAAAAGAGAAATATAAACAATATAAAATTTACCACATTTAAAAACAGATGTGTTTAGACTGGAGGTAATGTTAACAGGCAAGTTGAACAAAGTGTTTAGACGGGACATAATGTTAACAGTCAAGTTAAAGAAAGTATAAAAAACAGTTTAAAAGTGAACAAACTAAAGCAAGGGTAAGTTTGAGTCATTTATGATGTTTCACTAACTAAATGTTAACATTTTTAATTTGAACTTTCTAGGTAAATGAATACCCAAAACTGTATTAAATACTGTTAACATATCAAATATAAAATTTGCTACGGCAGAGTTATAAAACTAAACAAAAAATAATAATACCATACCAATAATTAAGTTTACTACGGGAGAGTTCCAAACATGTCTGTCCTCATTTGTTCAGCTGTTTGTGTATCAGAGTAATCCACGTAGTCAATGTTCCATATTCCCACCCCTTTCAACCCGTACTTTTGTGCCATGTCACTTTTCAGCTGGAGACTTGTTGGGTTGTCAAAATGAACCTCATATATTGACAGGGTTTCAATGTCCTTCAGGAGAAAAAGAAGCAATGTTACATCTTCATTATGCTCAACGCTGGTTTAAACATTCAAGTTTATTTCATAGTCATATATTATTATCCTTGTCTGAAAGCAGATAAATATATATGTGTATGGGTGTAGGGGCTGAAATATGCACCCTCTTATTTAAAAAAAAAAATGAAGACTTACATAAGACAATGACACACATTTTATCACCCCACCCCTGCCCCACTCTTTTATTTCTAATTGTGTGTTGCCCCAACTTGACATATAACCTGTCTGGTTATTTTTTTGTTTACAATGGAGTAGAAGGAGATGATCATTGATACTAATCTGTAGTACTGAGACCATTTAAATCTCCTACTTAAAACTAATCTAGAGGGTCAGCAGAAATAAGCAGGTCACTAAAATCATTCTAGTTTCTGTTTCTTCAACAAAAATGACCAGTAAACTTCTTGTTTATAGTGGATGTTAAATCTAACAAATGACCAGTAACTTCTTGTTTATAGTGGATGTTAAATCTAACAATTAGTTATTGAAGTGG